CAACATCTGAATTATAGGGGCACCAGAAGGAGAAAAGGAAGAGCAAGTGGAAAAGTTATTTGAACAAATAATAAAGGAGAACTTCCCCATTCTGGCAAAGGAAATAGACTTCCAGGAAGTCCAGGAAGCTCAGAGAGTCCCAAAGAAGTTGGATCCAAGAAGGAACACACCAAGGCACATCATAATTACATTAGCCAAGGTAAAAATGAAGGAGAGAATCCTAGAAGCAGCAAGAGATAAGGGGACAGTAACCTACAAGGGAGTTCCCATCAGACTGTCAGCTGATTTCTCAAAAGAGATCTTACAGGCAAAAAGGGGCTGGAAAGAAGTATTTCAAGTCATGAAAGACAAGGAACTACATCCCAGATTGCTCTACCCAGCAAAGCTTTCATTTAGAATGGAAGCGCAGATAAAGTGCCTCTCAGATAAGGTCAAGTTAAAGGAGTTCATCATCACCAAGCCCTTGTTATATGAAATGTTAAAGGGACTTATCTAAGAAAAGAAGACAAAAAAACATGTATAGTAAAATGACAGCAAACTCACAATTATTAATAACTACACCTAAAACAAAACCAAAAGAAACTAAGCAAACAACTAGAACAGGAACAGAACCACAGAAATGGAGATCACATGGAGGGTTAGCAACAGGGGAGCGGGAGGAGGAGAGAGGGCGAAAAGGTACAGAGAATAAGTAGCATACACAGTAGGTAGAAAATAGACAGGGGGAGGGCAAGAATAGCATGGGAAATGCAGAAGCTAAAGAACTTATGACACATGGACATCAACTAAAGGGGGGATATGGGTGGGAGAGGGTGTACAGGGTAGAGGGGAGTGAAGGGGGAAATAGGACAACTGTAATAGCATAATCAATAAAATATATTTAAAAAAGATATCACTGAATATGGCAAAAGGATAAGGGAAGAAATGAAGGCTACACTAAGTAAAATAAAGAAAAATCCACAGGGAACCAACAGTGAAGGGAAGGAAGCCAGGATTCAAATCAATGATTTGGAACATAAGGAAGAAATAAACATTCAACCAGAACAAAATGAAAAAATAAGAATTCAAAAAACAACAACAACAAGAAAAATAAACAAAAAGAGTTTAAGAAGACTCTGGAACATCTCCAAAAGGGGCAACATCTGAATCATAGAAGTACCAGAAAGAGAAGAGGAAAAGCAAGAAATTAAAAACTTACTTAAAAAAACTAATGAAAGAGAACCTCCCTAATTTGGTGAAGGAAACAGACATACAAGTCCAGAAAGCACAGAGAGTTCCAAACAAGTTGGACCCAAAGAGGTCCACACCAAGACCCATCATAATAAAAACACCAACGGTTAAAGATAAAGAAGGAATCTTAAAAGCAGCAAGAGAAAGGCAGAGAGTTACTTTCAGAGGAGTTCCCATAAGACTGTCAGCTGATTTCTCAAAAGAAACTTTGCAGACAAGAAAGGACTGGCAAGAAGTATTCAAAGTGATGAAAAGCAAGGTCCTACAACTTAGATTACTCTATCCAGCACAGCTATCATTTAAAATGAAAAGAGCAGGTAAAGTGCTTCCCAGATGAGGTAGAGCTAAAGGAGTTCATCATCACCAAGCCCTTATTATATAAAATGTTAAAGGGTCTTATTTAAGAAAAAGGAGATCAAAACTATGAACATTAAAATGGCAACAAACTCACAACTATCAACAGCTGAATATAAAAAAAACAAACTAAGCAAAAAACTAGAACAGGAATAGAATTATAGATATGGAGATCATTTGGAGGGTTATCAGCTGTGAGGGGGAAGGGGGAGAAGGAGAGGAAAGATATAGGGATTTAGAAGCACAACTGGTAGGTACAAAATAGACAGGGGGATGTCAAGAACAGTACAGGCAATGGAGAAGTCAAAAGAACTTATATGCATGACCCATGGACATGAACTAAGCAGGGGGATAGCTGGAAGGAAGGGATTGCGGGCAGAAGGGGGCAAATGGGGAAAAACTGAGACAACTGTAATAGAATCAATAAAATATACTTTAAAAATAATAAACCAATAAATGGTGAAGATGGTCAATTTTATGTTATATGTATTTTGCCACAATTACAAATAAATAAATATATTTTTAAAATGTATAGCCTCACTCACTAATCATCAATTAGATACAAGAAGTCCCATTTTAATGACGGAACACCACACATGCTCAGGGAAAAGCTTTAAAATGTGAACAATTTTCACAAAGAAAAAATATTTTAGAATTTCACTGAAAAATATAAATGTGACCTTGAGGTAGATTGTGTTATTATTCCCAATTGTGCACTGGCCTCCCAGTGAGAGTACAGCATTCCCCTACATGCTTGGCCTTAAGGTGGGCCATGCACTTGGCTCTGGGTAACGATGTTTAGTGATGTATGCCACTGCTGAGCAGAACCCTTAAAGCCATCACAAGACTCTGACAATACTTTTTCCAGTAGGGATAGCAATTAGGGGTCTTCCTTCAGTCTCGGTTCTGGAATGAAGGAGACACGTCAGGCAAAACTTCAGCCAGGCTGCAGCAGACACATCAGGTGAGCAAGAAATAAACCTTTGGCACTAAGCAAACAACTAAAACAGGAAAAGAATCACAGAAATGGAGATCACATGGAGGGGTAGCAACAGGGGAGTGGGAGGAGGAGAGGGGGGAAAAGGTACAGAGAATAAGTAGCATAGATGGTAGGTAGAAAATAGACAGGGGGAGGGCAAGAACAGTATGGGAAATGTAGAAGCTAAAGAACTAATGACACGTGGACATGAACTAAAGGGGGGGAATGTGGGTGGGAGAGGGTGTGCAAGGTGGAGGGGAATGAAGGGGGAGGTAATGGGACAACTGTAATAGCATAATCAATAAAATATATTTTAAAAAAAGAAATAAACCTTTGGCGTTGTGTGCACCGTCGGGAAATCAGGAGTCATTTCTTACCATAGCATTGGCTGGCAAAAGCTGACTGATGGAGAAATACACCACTTTCTGGAGAAGTTTCAAATATATTAACATGCCAATCTTCATCAACTAAATCCTTAAATTTAATGCAATTACTATCAAAACCTCAATACCAGTTATGAGACATGACAAGCTGACTGTATCACTTATTTGGAATCATGAATGTGAATACTAAGAGCACTTTTAAATTGAAGAATAATGTGAGAGATCCCACTGTCCGAATACTAAGATCTATTTAATAATGCTATAGTAATTAAAACAACATGATATTAAAGAAAAAACAAACCAACTGGACACAAACAGATCCATGAGTGTGGGAATTTCCTGCATGATGAAATAGCATTTTTATTATGCTAAAACAGATATAACATAACATTTACCATGTTAACCATTTGTATTTGTAGAGTTCAGTGGCATTGAGTATCTTCACAATGTTGTGTTCCCATCACCACTACCTATTTCCAGAAGTTTTTCCATCATCCCCAACAGACACCCACTTAAAAATAGTATATTTTTATACTATTCCTCCTCTTGGCCATGGTAACCTATGTTCTACTTTTTCCTCTATGAATTTTCCTGAAAATAATATTTTAAACCATTAACTATTTAATACATGGTGATGAAACAATTAGGTACCCAGGTGGGGAAAATCAAGTTATAATCCTTACTCATATATATGCAAAAATTAATTCAAGTCAAACTAAAGAATTAGCAAAAACACAAAACATTTTATAGTCTTATGGTAGAAATGACTTCCAAAATGAAAATTGAGAAATCTAGCAGCCATAAAGAAAATGTTCATACATGTAACACTTAAAAGTTTCTACACCACATTATAAACAAAGAAATAATGAGTAACAATCAAGGAGAAAAATTCAGTATGACAGTTAATAGATATAGCATCAATTTCTGAAATGCATGATTCCTTACAAATACATTAGAAAAATATAACCTAATTAAGAAAAATGAAACAAAGAAGATGAATACAGAATTTGCAGGAAAATTGTAAGGAAACACATACAAAGATGGCCTACCTTACCAAGAACCTGGAAAATGTAAACTAAAAAAGCAAGATAGCCCTCTCTCATCACACTGACCAAAACGGTAGTCTGCCGGTACCCTAGCCTGATTGACAGTCTGAGGGAGGAAGCAGCATTGTCCTGCACTTAGATAGGAGAGCACAGCAGAATCACTTTTTAAAAATGACAACCTCATGGTATTTATCAAGTTAGAAATGCACCTGTCATTCTATTCAATAACTGCCCTTCAAGGAATCTATCATAGATTATCTTAGAAATATTTGTTCTTAGATTCAAAGATAAGGAGGAAGACATATAACGTATCTATAAATGTAAAAAGTTGGAAACAACCTAAATAAATACCCATCATTAAGAAAATAGTTAAACTATGGTAGCACTATCTTCAGCATGCAATATAGTTATTAAGAAGGATGTGTCACCCAGCTGGTGTGGCTCAGTGGGTTGAGCACTGGCCTGTGAACCAAAGGGTCGCCGGTTGGATTCCCAGTCAGAGCACATGCCTGGGTTATGGGCCAGGTCCCCAGTAGGGGGCATGTGACAGCTAACCACACACTGATGTTTCTCTCCCTTTCTTTCTCCCTCCCTTCCCCTCTGACTAAAAATGAATAAATTCTTTTAAAAAATGTGTCAGAGCTACTTGTACCAATATGAAAAATTATGGTATGTTGTCAAGTGAAAAAATAAAGTCACAAAAGAACATTATAGTTAGTATTCCAGTAAAAATGCATGTATGCATATTTTTATGTAAAAATTCTGTGTAAATATATATCTGTGCTTGTGTATTTTTATAACTCACAGTAAATGATCTTAAAGGGTAAACAACAAACTGTTGTTAGTGAAGTAAAAGTACAATAAGAGGAAGGTTAAGGAGACTTTCCCATTTTTATCTATATACTTTGGTACTGTTTTGATTGTATAAGACGTATCTATTATTTTTATGATCGAAAAAAAAATGAAAGATGTAAAAAAATATGGAGATAGAAAGGAAAGCGACCTTACCTGTTCTGGGCTCATGTACAGGGGAGTTCCCCGATCACGTGTCCTCTTTTCATCATATTCCTGAAATGTTACAAGTCCAAAGTCTCCGATCTTTATTTGTTTTGTATCTACTAAAAATATGTTACTCGGCTACAGAAAAAGAAAAAACAGTATTTAAGTAGAAGTACCAATTTGACAGACAGATATCACATATTCAAATCATATCTAGCAATGACTAATTTTATATTTGCTTAGTACAGTATAAGGCATTTACCCTTACACAGGTAGCTCAAAATAGAAAATTTAGTATCCCAGATCTTTTAAAGTGCCAGCTGAGGAAGTCAGGACTTTTCTGTCAGCAGAGAAGGCCCAGGGCAGAGCTGGCGTCAAAGACCTAAAGAGCTGTTGAGTGGAAGGGGGATTCACTCTGCATCATCCCAGGTGGTAAATCCAGGACTAGAGGGTGCTTTAGTGTCACCTAAAAATACTAGTAGTGTGGTCCCCAAAATGGGCATTCAAGAGTTCCCTCTCCCAGGAAGTATTCAAGACAGAGCTGGACGCCCTCTTGGTGGAAATGTTGAATATGAGTCCAGAATTCGATGGGGTTTGAAATAGAAGCCCTTAACATCTCTTCCAATTTTCAGATTCTCAGAATGGGTCTCTTCCCACGAATACTATCAGATATCTTGTGCAGAACTACTTGTGGGAGCTTCCTTGATGTCAATTTCTCCCACCTCTGACTTCTTCAAAAACATACCCTTTCTATCCTCAAAGGCATACCAAGTTAACCAGAAACCAATAACTAGCACTGAAGTATTTTTTCCATGCAATTCTTTGAGCAGATTGAAAAAAATAAAAAGAACAGAATGAAAGGTGTTTAACTTATTCCACAAATCTGTAGAAGGTATTGACCAGTATTCTAAAGAACGTGAAAATAGATGGTTACTGGGAAGACATTAATATCTGCCATTGTTTAAAAGGCTAGACTTGCAGTACAACATGGGGCTACACATTCGCACACAGGCCTCATGAGCCAACACTTGTAATAGGGTCTCATAAAGGAACCGAGAGGGAGAAGACATCAGTCAAGGATGGCTGAAAGAGGAACTTCCAAGAAGCCATCCTGAAAAGGTCCATGCAGAAAGTAGCAGTTGGATTGGAACAATGAATGGTAAGACTGGAAGCTAACACCGAGAATACAAATGGAAAGCTGTAGCTGTGTGTGGGGTGGGTGTGGAGAGAAAATATGCCAATGCTGATTCAAGTTACAGTGCAGGAATGCACCAAGTTTGCACAAGTGCAACTGCTAGCCCCACACAAGCCTACAGCCTGACTCTGAGAAACAGGTTACACTTACGATGCTGTAAAAATATAAGCTGGATAGGACCATATAGTAAAAATATCAGGTTGCTTACTTCCTGTTCATTAAAAAGAAAAGCAATGCCACATTTTGTGTAATCAGTAATGGTATGATTTCTCAAAATGTTGGGGTGCAGAGCAGTAAAAGAGGGTGCCAATTTCATACAGGCAGTACGGGAATAAGGGCTGATGCTCAGGCTGAAGATGACCAAGGAAGCTGGGCCTCCGGGGCCTGAACCTCCAAGGACTATAAGCCTTCACTCCAGAAACCTCTGTCACTCCCCTAGTGCCTCTGATCTAGTTCTGAAGATTCTGGCAGGAAACGATAAGCAGTGATAAACCTCATGTAACGCGCTTTACTGCGTAAAGACCATTCTCTGACAAAGCCACCTGCAACGGGGATTTTGAGAGGCATCACCAAAAAAAAGTGCACACTTCTGTTTGCATCCTATCTCAGATACAAGACAGCAGCAACTGTAGCAGTGAAGCTAGAACAGCCGAAGAAGGTGAAAGAAGGCTCAGAAGTATTCAAGTCTGACCTTTGACAGCTACAGATGTAGAGCGAACAATCTCTGTAAACAGACACAAGAAAAGATCAGTCCCTGACCCGGGGCACAGGTGGTGGGGGACACAGGAGGTGTAGCAGAAGGCTGCCTCCAGCCGACACCAATTGGAATTGCACTAGTTCATCCTGAGGAGGGTGTGGGAGTTAATACCCACACTTCTGTATTCTCTTAAAAATTACTGTATAAATAGATAATTGTGCTTAATTCTTTACTTCACTCCATGTATGCTTTATTCCAAGGTGAAGGCATAGCCTTCGATAAGAAAGATAAATGTATCTTTCTGAGCATAGTCCTTATTATGTTCTAACTTCAAAGAACACCTTCAGATATTGTTAAAGAGAGATATTGGAACCAGGTGGACTTGCACATGAAGGCATCAGACACTCGGCCCCCTGGGCAGACCAAGGATGCAATGTCGTTTGAGGGCCACTTATTCCTATGAAAGTCCAACAAACAACTATCTGTGTAAGTGTTTATTTTACTCAGGGGGACTTTTGCTTCATTCCCCACTCCCAGGTGTTTTAGGTAGGTGGAATAAACAGACAGCCAAGATCCACATAAAGGAGGCGCTTCTGCCTGATCCAGAGAGATCCGGAAAGGCTACATAAAGGAACTGGGACAAAGGGGAGGGGCAGAAGAGCGTTCCATGCGAGAACATGCGCACAGGTTCAGTGATAGGATTCGGCATGGCAAGTTTGTGAGGACGGCAGGCAAACCACAGGGGACCAAGTATGGAAGAGAGACTGAAAAGCTTCTTTTATTTTGATGAAATGGAAAAATGGGAAAATGCTCATCTAGACCATGTAGGATGCTAGAAACACAGAAGAAAATGAAAACACCAAGGTCTGCTACATGTTACAAGGTTTGGATTACTGCAACTTTCCAATCATGAGGCAGAAGTGTCCAAATGCCAAAAAAAAAAAATCTAGACTCTGGGCTTAGTAGCTGTGACTGCCCTCAAGAATGATGACTGAGAGAGCAGGAGAACCCCTGTTCCCAAGGCCACAGTCAGCAGAATCCCTTCTGCCCCTCAGACAAGCCCAAGGAGCAGCAGAGGCTGGGACAGAGCAACCAGCTGGCTGTGCCAGCCACAATAACCATCTGCACGGAAAGGGGGGTATACTAAAGCTATTAGTGTTCACAATGGGAATGACTATCAGCCAGCGAGTGCCAGGAGTGAACGAGCTCCTTCCAGTGCAGCCCCGTGTCTTGGCAAGTTTGCTAGCCCTGGAGATTTTCCGAGTGGCTCTAGGGAATGGTGTGTGGGGCAAGTTCTAGGCCCATTCTAACTTCAGAGGATCAGGGGTATTACTTCTTCACGACTATCAAATAATTCTAGACCTGGGGAAGATAGATTTTAAAATTATTAAGTGATATTCATCAATTTCTAACAAAGCACATCTTCCACTTACCTTAAGATCTCTATGAATTAACCCTTTTGAATGTATATACTTCACTCCTTCTACTATTTGCTCAAATAACTCCAAAGACAAGCCTTTGTCTGCGTCCTTCTCTCTTCTTTCATCGATCCATTGTTCCAATGTTCCTTTATCACAGAACTCCATTTGGATGAAAAGGTACTGGGGTCTTGATCACAGAGAAGTAGGAACAAAAATAAATTTAGTAAAAAATTCATTTTTAAATTTTTTTAAATTTTATTGTTCAAGTATTTTTTTAAAAAGTGTAACTTCTTAAGCACAAACATGTCTCAAAACAGAAATCTAAATAAATAAATTTGAATCAAAATATAATAAACCAGTTTTGTTTAAATCATAAATCCCCAGATGCTCAGAGCTTTATTTATTTAGCTAATTTATGAACTATAGCCTGTCCATTCTTCAATGCTTAGAAAGGTCCTTGATCACATTTCTAAAAGATGGGAATGGGAGCATTAATACAATGGAATTACAGACAACCAAATCTCATCATTAATTTAAAATATTTTAATCCATCATCAATCTACTGAGCATGTATTTTGTGAAAAGCATAGAACAGGCACCTAAAGAGGAGAAAATGAGTTAGACGCTGTCCTTGCTGTCGTGGGGATGACAGTTTAACGGGACAGAGGTCAAGGGAAAAACAAGCCTAAAAAAATAGCACACGGTTAGATACTCCGAGAGAAATGTCAATCAACTGCTGTGAGATGTCACTGAGAGGACTGATTTTGCTAACCATAATTTTTTTCTGAACTAAGTTGGTCTCATTATTTATATATTCTTTGAACATATATTGACTAGAAAATAGAAAGAAGTAGCCAAGAATTTGCTGAAAGCTGAAGAAGTCCCACGTGCTGATGGTCCAGCGCTCCTGAAACCGATGATCAAGTTCTCAGTCCGTGGGATGGATGCTGGGTTTGCGTGGAGAGAAAATGAATGCACAGGCTCACAGTGGGCTGAAGATTGTACTGAGTGACTTTCAAAGGGAGGATGCCAGCTCTTTAGAATCTTCCAGCCCTTTGGCAGTGGCTTACTTGAGACAAAACTTGAGGGATGCAAGGTGAGGTGCTCCCATCAAAGTTCATGGTCTTAAAATTATTTCCACTGCCCTCACCCCACCATAAATGGTGCCACTGCACCTGACAGGGACCCGCTGACTGCATCCTACCAATTGGGGGACTGAGAGAGGGAGAGAAAAGCACTGGCAGCTGAGGAGGGGACCCTCCAGTTGCAGCATCGACTACATGTTCAAACAGCCTCCTCAAGACGTTATTTACAGACGAGACTGAACTGGACGTGCCAGTAAGCCGATCCGTGAAAGAACGCCATCAGGAAAGCTGCACCTGAGATGCTGAAAACAGCTGAGGACAGGAAAAAATGTTTGAAAACAAGTTTGCAGTAAGGAGAGGAGGAAGGAAAATACTGTTCATGGTCTCCTTACCTGCAGAATCAAGACATAACAAGGTCTCAAACAGTGCTTGTGGTGGTGATTATTATATGTATTAATTAGTGGCCTTATCTGATGGCCCACACATAGCCAATGATAGTTTCCTTCAACCTGTTGGTGCTATGAGAATTTCTTTTTTAGTTACCTGTCTCTTTGGCTTTCCACATCATCAACAGTTTCAGTCCAGCTAAAAGAGTAGCGAACAATATTTGGATGATCAAGCTCTGCCAAAACTGTTACTTCACGCTCTGCCTTTACTTTATTTCTTAAAAGAAACAGGGAATATAAAGGGTCAGTATACATCCTGATAGTAACAAAGCACCTCCTTTATTAGACAGTCACCACGGTTCCCACACCCTGAGCTTTAGAATAAAAGCCAAAAGCACTGAAAAGGAAAACGTGAACATACAGAAAAAACATAGTTGTCTTCACTCTCAACATAAAAGAAAAAAACGGTGACTTAAATCATCCCAATTTAAAACATCAGGCAATTTAAAAGTCATTTGCAGTAGTCTTTGAAATGCCAATATACAGTTTTTGGTAGCTAGTTCATACAGGAAGTTTTGTTTAGACTATGTCAAAGTCACTTTGGATTTCTTAAACAAACCCCATTTGGGCAGCAAGGGTAGGTAACCCAGGCAGCATAAAGAGCCTAATTTGGAATTTTCAGTGTGTGGCAATACACAAGGAGAGGATCTATGCAGAGAAACAGAGACTTCTCCGTATGTGTGGGAACTTTACAGGGATGAGCACTCAAAGGTCAAGGCAAATCTATGCTAAATGGATTAAATATATTTGAGATTTCAAGGATGAGAAAGGATAAGCAAACATTGTACAATTTCAGTTTTTAATCTGAAAAATTCTTTATATGACATACAATTTATAAAAATAAAGAAAAAGTACTCATATATTGACAATCCTAACAATGAGTTATTATTTGGGGTTATTTTTAATTGTTTTTCTTCATGTATATTTCATATATCTGTAATTGCAGTATATCATTTTTATTCTATTTTTCACATTGTATTTACAACTTTCCTTGTTTTACAATCTGCAGTTTTCCTTATTGTTTTACAATCTACAGTGTGCATAATCTGTTTAAGGTGATATTTCAAAAGTATAAAAAGTAGAGCAAATAGTATAATAAAGCCCTACCTAGCCATCACCCAGATGAAAGCTGTTAATTTCATCTATACCGTTACCCACTTCCTCATCTTCCCCTAGACTATTCTGCAGCTACTGCCAGCATTGTATCATTTCATGTATACATATTTTCAGCATCTAACCCTCATTCTTAATGACTGTAAAGTAGCCATCGATCAGGGGAAAGAACAAAACATACATAATCATTTCTTTATTTCAGGACATTTTGTTTTTTTCTAATTTTTTACTGTTATAAATAACATTGTGATTTATATATCGTCTTGTACAGTTTTTTCCGTACTTTGGGTAATATCCATAGACTAGGTTCCCAGGCAGGAAATCCACAGGTCATACATAGTGTATGCACATTGTTATGGCTCTAGAGGAATGTTTCCAAGTAAACTGTGTTCCATCAGTTTATGAAGCTCTTATAAATGTCCCCTAATACTGTACCATGATCCTCATTAAGTATTTCCACTGAAAACAAATTGCTGTCGAGTAGAAGGAATGACAACAATAACAATTTCATCCTTATTGAGCAAAAACAGTAAAGAAGGAAGAAGTCTTGTTTTGATGCTAACAAAGTATGAAGGTGTATCAGCGGCCAAGGTATTGTCCTTGGACAGGAAGTAGGTTTGTCAGACTGGGATGAAAAGCACTTGGGACTCTTTGCCTGCTTCTCCTTTGCTTGGGTCATTGTCCTTAGCGACATCCCTTTTCCTTCTCCTTCTCTAGTCCTTGAAAGATCAGTCTAGCCAAGTAACCACTGCCAGAAAACTACAAGTAAGACTGGTGAATGGGTAATGTGATTTAAGACCTCCTTCTGATGGGTCCACCTTCCTAAAGGAGTTCTGCTATCCAGTAAGGCTGGGGTTGAGGCAGAGTACCGATAATACACAAAAGAAACATGGGAAGCAGTGGGTTATGGTGGGAACACAGGGGACTGGCATTCTAGAGGATGAGTGCTAAATCCCCACCTTGTACCCATGGCAGATACTGCCCCGTACATGCGCCCACTCCTCAGATTAAAAGGTACAGTCCATTTGCCCCTCCCTTGAATCAGAACTGGCCTTAGTGATTTTGTTGAAACAATACAACATGGAACCTCCAGGACTAGATAAGAATGAATAAAGCAATTCAACATAGCTTCTCATTCAAAAATAAAATGAAACATTTCCTACTTACTTTTCATTGTATTTAACACGTTTAATAACATAAGTCTTCTTGTCAATTCTGTGTTTTCCTTTGAAAACCAGGCCATATCCACCTTTGCCAATTGGTGTTATTTCGGAAAAATATTCGGTAAGCCTTAAAAGATAAACGTCATTGTTATTCTAAGGTTCGTTGCTAGCTGGCCCCCATCCCTTCCACTTTCCCTGAGGGTCAGTGGTGAAATAGACTGTATAATAAACATGACTCTCCCCTTCTGAATAAGAAGGGCCCACTTCACAGAAACTCTTGAATCACAAAGGAGAGTTCCTCCCCCACCTCCTCCCAATGTACCAGATCGCCCCTGGGAGCCATAGTCAATTACTGGCTATACAACAGTCACGAGAAAGAATCTTATCACAAGTGTAAAACTTTATGAAGAAGCACCATAGTGGCTGCACAGCTGTCATCACATCATTGTCAGAGAAATGAGCAGGTGCTCTGGGCCCACCTATGCCTGTAGGCCCCGCATTCCATCATGAGGCCCTGCCAACCCCACTGCTAAAACATATGCCACTATCGGCCCACTTTCCCTGTCTCTGACATCTTCACAGATTGTTGTTGAGTAGAAGGAATAATAACATTTCAATCTTCCATCAGGCTCCTGTAGGACCTTGCTACCTGGACTCCACTTCCTCTCCTTTTCCGCTTCAATCCATGATCTGCACAGCAACTGGTGTGATAAAAATGCAGTCTGATCATGTCTCTCTATTGCCTAGCCACCAGCAGCTAGCTCTGCATTCAACAAAAAAACCAGAAAGCCCTTAAATGGCTCCAGGGGGCCTTGTGATTCGGCCCGCCACCTCGCTCTCCAGCTCGTTCCCTGGCACAGTGGCCGTGTCCACTGCTCTCCGAGAGCACAACCTTCTCTCTGCTCCTTGAACACTCAGATCACCTGTCCGGTCTGCACCTTCCCCTGGGGCTCTGCTCTGGCAGAGCCCCGGAGCCTCCCACCCCGCTGAGCTGCCTCACCCTTCAACACCCTGACCACAGTTTGTAACCAGGGACTTTTTCACGTCATGTTCACCCTCACAAACTCCATGAAGTCAGGAGCTGTTCTCTCTGTTCTTCCTACAGATCCAGCAACAGTGCCCAGAACACAGCCAGCTAGGTATGAGGTACTCATGCAATATCCGATGATTCTTTATTGTTTTTTTAACTTATTTTCAATGTCCCTTTCTTGCAAACAGGCCTCCTTTGTTTTAGATATTTTATTGAAACCCAAATACATGATCTACTACCAGAAGAACCCTTTTTCAGAGTGAAATTTGGAAAATGAAAAACAGATTCAAGTGGCTCTTTTCTGACTTCTGGAGGAGTATTTTTTTTTTGGAAAAAAACACCACTTTATAGGATTATTTGCTTTTAATATTAAAAATATCCACATAAGAATCACACATAAGCATCATATAAATCTACATCACTTCTCTAAGACACAATGGTCTTTTGTGGACCTGACTGTGCTAAAACAATTTAACTGTTCAGGTGGAAATATAATGCAACCTGCCTGATGTACAACAGTCCCTTATGAAACTTCTGTCAAATAAACAAACATATCTTTAAGCAAATTCTTTTTTTATTCCTCACCCTAGGATATGTTTATGTTTACTGATTTTAGAGAGAGTGGAAGGGAGAGAGAGACAACCATCAATTGGTTGCCTTTCATGCTCACCCCAACCTGAGATCAAACCTACAACCTTGGTGCGTTCCCTGACTGGGAATCAAACCCACAACCTTTGGGTGCATGGGACGATGCTCCAACCAACCAAGCCACCCAGTCAGAGTGCAGCAAATTCCATTTTACAGTTCTCACTTACCTGTCATTGCTAGTACAGTTATTTCTTCCCATGTAAGGAGAGTCAAACTTGGGTGCTAAAGATCTAAAAATTAAGAGAAGAATGTTAAAACTCACATAAAACTGAAACCAAATATAACTTGTTTAGAGTGGTGGACTTAGGCCACGCACGAGGCTCTTTATATTTTGAGTCAACATTTGATAACATGTGATCTTTTGATTTCTTACCCAAGTTATTATATCATTTCTACTCTACCTGTTTATCTGCAGAAGAACACACTTCTCTTAAAAACACCTCTCCAAGCCCACTTCTGAAATAATGCCCTTAATCACTTATTCAAGCACCATCCCCATAGGCCTTCATGGCTACAGTGAATGCATGCATACAAAGATTTCTCTGCATATTTAAAATTATTTGTTTGTATATTTCAAGCTTTTTGTGATCCTTAACCATGCTCTCTGCTTTTAAAACTCTACTAAAATAAAGGTGTATTGGGTGTCCAATCTTTTGGCATCTCTGGGCTACACTGGAAGAAGAGTAGTCTTGGGCCACATATCAAATGCACAAATACTAACGAAAACTGATGAGCAAAAGAAAGGTTTTAAGTAAATTTATGATTTTGTGTTGGACTGCATTCAAAGCCACCCTGGACCACATGCAGCCCTCGGGCTGCAGGCTGTACAGCCCTGCTACAAATACTGAAGACTTCATAAATAAGACTGACAAACTAAGTCTGAAAGAAAACTTCATTTCAAAGTACATTCAATGCATACTGATACTCACCTTCTCCCTTTCCCCAAACTATATCTGAGGTCACTCTGTAACAAAAGAAAATGTAAAACTCTTTCAGATGAGTAAGTCAATTCTATCGCCTTTCCTTGCTATCCCTCCTCTTGTACTTCTAGCTGGTTCTATGACCACATTTCTTTGTCTATAAGATTAACAGAGTCATCAACTGTTGTACTCTTATCAAGCCCCACTTCCCCGTTTACTTGGTTTTATCTATGTTCTCTTCCACTACAGTAACCAGACAGATGTGGCAGGAAGGACATAAAGGACGATTGTAAGGCACGTTCTGAAGAAGCACTGATTCTGCAGGTACAGAACGTGGCTTCCCTGCTGATCCTCTGGCCAGCAGAGCTCAGCAGGAAGGTGTGCATCCCATCATTCAGTGCTAGTAAAGACACAGAGGGAGCCCAGGGATCTAGAGTAAAGTAGCTTCCCAAGGGTTTCTGATCTGATCACCAGTTAAAAACTCCAATTTTCACTTTAAGCACAAATTAATCATTTTAATATTTAGCAAAAAATGGGAGTCTTCAATATATATCTCAAAAATTAATGTCACATAGCCATTTTTCATTCACATTCACTTTTATTCTGGTACATTGTGTGGATTTTTTAAACCAATTTAAATACAGTGATACAGAGTGGGGAGCATCAGACAAGATGTCCTGTGCTCCTGTCACCTGCCAGCCTCACACTGCACGGTGACTACACTACAGAGTAATCTAGCCATCCTGTTAATGAGCAGTATTTTTTCTAATTTTTTCTATTACACACAATGCTGCAAAGAACAGTCTTCTTTTTTTTTAATCTTCAGCAGAGGAATTTTTTTTATTGCTTTCAGAGAGAGAGAAAGGAGAGGAGAGAGAGAAACATCAACATGACAGAAACATTGATTGGCTGCCTTCTCACATGTGCCCTGACCAGGAATTAAACCCACAACCCTTCAGTCCATGGACGATGCTCTAACCAACTGATCCACGCTGGCCAGGGCTGTAAAGAACATCCTTATACCTATTTTTCTGTGCACCCATGCAAGTGTTTCCCTAGCAGACATCCTCAGGAAGGGAACTCCTTGGCATTACAGCATGCATACCCTCAACTTGACTATATGTTTCCACATTGTTCTCCAAAATGGTTGTACTGATTTATAGTTCCACCAACAGTGTACAATAGTTATAACACAAACATAAATGTGTCAACACTTAGTGTTGTTAGACCCAAGTTTTGCCATTCTGATGAGTTTAAAATGGTATCTGTTGTTTTGATCTGCATTTTCCTGATTACTGTGAAGTAAAGCATCTTTTCATGTTTCTTGCGCATATGGGTCTCTCTTCTCTGAGTTGTGTGTATAGATCATTTGCACACTTTTCTACTGAGTTGCCTTTTTCTTATTGATTTGTAGTTCTTTATAAATAGAATACTTTTGCAACACTCTCACCACAAAAATTATCTGATTTTTAAGTTTAGTTCTGATTGTTTTAAAACAGAAGCAGAGATATATTAATGAAACCTTTAAATCCTGTGCAGTTGGTAGAAGATAAGCCAGATCATAGGAATATGTGAAAATACAAAGGTTAGTAAGGAGAGAAAGATGGGAGTGACAGGAGGGAGAATCCTCCATGTGAGGGATGGGGGTTAGTAAAGAAAGGAGAGAGTTGCTGCTAAATATTATCATTTAGTGAGATAAAAATAGGAAAATTACTGAAGGTTGTTTTTAAAAGAGGAAGCACAAAGGGAAATAAGATTAACTAGGAAGTGTATTTTTTTTAAGATTTTTATTTATTTTCAGAGAGAGGGGAAAAGAAAGAGAAAGAGAGGGAGAGAAACGTCAACATGTGGCTGCCTCTTGAATGCCCCCCACTGAGGACCTGGCCTGCAACCCAGGCATGTGCCCGATGGGAATTAACCCAGCAACCCTTTGGTTCGCAGGCCCACATTCAATCCACTGAGCCGCACCAGCCAGGACTTAACTAGGAAGTTCAGAGATGAATACCATACCCGAGAAGATGAAGGAGTATTGCTAAAACTGCCACTGCTATCACTTCTTTCTGATCCATTTTCTGAAAAGCCATTTTCAGATGGTGATTCAGAACCACTACGAGAAAAGGGAGTACCTATTAGTTTATGAATTCTATTTTTTGTTGATAAGTAATTTCATTCTCTAACTTCTCCTTAGATATTAAACATTTTCATTAAAATTTGCTCTTTCAGAAAGGGCAGAAATTTGTATTTTTTTGCTTTGTTTTGTTTTCTTTTGGTTCATGTTCCCAGCAAGTACTGCAAAACTGGGTTGATGTGTGGAATGGATGGAGCAAGCTCCTATTCCATCTCCCAGCTACAAAAATCCATCTACTATAAGATCCTTGAATAGAAGACATATCAAATATTAAACAGATACTACACTTGATCTTCGCCAAACGGCTGAGAAGTGATGGAGATTTGTATTTCTTAAGTATCACAGCTGTGTGTACATGCTTACCTTATATTTGAGGACTTGCTTTTGTAGTCACTGGGCCCAGCCGGGGTAGAGGCAAAGAGAACCGAATCATCTTTCTGAAAGAGAGAGAAACCCTGAGAAAGGGTTCAAGTGCAACTAAATGACTTCTCCACGGTGGCTCAGTCTCTGTGTTAGAGGCTCAGTCTCTGTGTTAGAGACCAGTTCCCACATTTACCAAATTCATAGCCATAAACAATTATGAGATTAATATATAGATCACTAGTGGGACCTAGAATCAAGGAATCCTTTTGCTATGTGATTGGCTGTCTTGGCATCAGGCAAACATTCAAACCTCAAAGCAAGTTCAGAGGGAATTTTAAAATACAAAAAATAAATCCAAAGACAGTATGTACCATTGAGGAAGATTCTGCTTGTAACTTCTCATAGGCAAATTTAGCAGCCCATTGTTTTGCCTTCTGCTTAGTAGAACCTTCACCACGACCGTAGACTTTCTGTCCAACTAGGCATGTACAAAAAAATCTAGGAAAAGTAATGGAGAGTATTTACCTAAATACCAAAAAAATAGTAAATATAACTTATGATTTGAGAAAAACACACGTCAATAAAGGCCTTATTATCACACTAATGTAACAGGTTGATTTGCATTTCATGTCTTTGTATAATTTAAATCTTCGATAAAATGGCCAACCAATCTGCCAGAGTAACCAGGATTAGCTGACATCTCAGCTTGCATTTTCCAGGCAACTTCTAACTTTCTGTTTCTTCACTCAAAGATCTGGCATAAAGGTAACACTATCACTTTTTTCTCTTCCTAGTTCTGACCTAAGAGCCATCAAAGTCAAAAGTCAAAAGTAGTAGTAGCTCCGTCAGTTCAGGGGACAGTATCCTAAAGTGACTATTCGCATTATTTGCATTCAGATTTTTTTTTCTTCTCCCTCATTTAATTGGTTGGTTGTAGCTGAGAAATAATCTCTCCCTCATGTTTGTTGTTTTGTTTTTCTCAGTTCCAAACCATTCTTTATCCTCACTTTCAAGTCTCAGCTCAGTGGTGACATTCTCAGTAACTGAAACTCTAGTCTGTCCCCCTCATCATATTCCTCAAATCCTATTCTCCTCTCAGTCTAGGGAGAAATACCTCTCCTTCTAATACATGATATCCATCTGCAGAGTGGTACCACTTAATCTAATTTGAAAGATGAACACCTGGACGGACAACTCTCTAATCTGACAATGGTGGGAAGAGAGTCTTCCACACGGGTGGCAGAGCTGTCTTCACACCACCACTCCCGCTGTGACCTCAGGGCTGGAGAGATCTCCCCATTCTTCAAGCAGGACACCTCATACTCTTTTAACTGTCCTGCAGATTAAACCTTCCAGATATACCTCAGAAATAAAAGATTACCCAGATTTGATCAATCTATGACACATGGGTTGTAATCCTTCAGCAATGAAGCATTTTAATTATAAAGACGTCCAATTGCTTATAAGTCCTATAATATGTTCACAAAGAATGTACAAAAATGATGAATATTTCTGAAAAGTTAGGCATGGATATAAGCCCATTCTATTGCTTAGATACAACGAAACAGAAGGAAACTATATCTTACCTTTTGAGCCCATCAATGTACGATTCATGTTGTTGATAAGTTATCTGTAGTTTTTTCTTTTGGATAAGCCTATTCATTTGGCCTACATAATTCCCTATGGATAAATCATCTGAAGTATCTGCTGTCGATACAGAACTAACTCCCTGAAAAAAAAAAATCTTGTTTAGCATGGATGACGATGAAGATTTAACTCTGTATTTTATTGTTCTAACAAAATTACTAAGTGAACCATTTGAAAGACAGCTTAGATTTTATGCATTTCCCTATTGTAGTACTTTGAATCTAAGTGAAAGCACATACTGTATTTTGCCATGTATAATGCAATCCTGTGTATAATGCGCACCTACAGTTTTTGTGTACATTACACACGGGAGTATTACACCCATGTATATTGTATATCTTTATTTTTCCCTCAAAAATTTGGGCAAAAAAATATGCATTATACATGGCAAATTATGGTACTTTCCTCTACCAGAAAAATCCTGCAAGGATAATTTTTAACAATAGGAATCACCCATTTTCCTTTTATAGTTTCATACGTAAAAAAAGTATAATTTTCTGTTTTTCCAAGCAAAATACTATAACACTTTCTACCTTGCTATACTCTTTGTAAAATTAGAAAAAAAATAAACAAGATAAATATTGAACTAAAGCTATATCCTTGATGACAACTTAATGGGAAAGGTGAATATAATAGCAGCAATCCCTTCATTATTATCTGTACTTTCTTTTGTTCTTAAGCTGACAAAATCTTGTCCAAAGTTCTGTAACTTTATTAATCTTGTTTAAACAATTAACTTTGGGTTTTTCTGATCCTTATTATTTCTTTGTTTTCTTTTACATTAATTTCTGCCCTTATTTTTGTCATTTTCTTTCTTCTGCTATTTTGAAGGAAAATAAAATAGTTAAATCTTTGTTCTTTTTCTGACTTCTTGACATGGTTTTCATTCTTTTTTTTAAAAAAAGATGTTATTTATTTATTTTTAGACAGAGGAGAAGGGAAGGAAAAAGAGAGAGGGTGAAACACCAATATGTGGTTGCTTCTTGTGTGCCCCCTACTGGGGACCTGGCCTGCAATCCAGGCATGTGCCCTAACTGGGAATTGAACCAGTGACACTTTAGTTCACAGGCTGGTGCTCAATCCACTGAGCCACACCAGCCAGGGCTTGACTTAGTTTTCTAGCTCATTAACAATTTGTAAGTTTGTGATTTTGTCTGATTTATTTTCTGAATTATGATTAGAAGGATAACATCTTCAAGTAAGATTTTTCAGGAAAGTATCTTAAGAGCTAAAATTTTCCAAAACTTTCAATATCTGAGAATGATTATCTTTTGTCCCACATGTAAATGATTTCTTATCTCATATTGCAGCTGCTGCTCCCTGTTTCCTGGCTTTTAATGTCACTATAGACAGCATAACACTTTTTTTTCATCTTTACATTTCACATAAGTTCTTTCTCCTGCCAAGATGCTTGATGATTCCTTCCTTATCCCCAGACCTCAGTCCTTTCACAGTGACTCAAGTTGCTCTTGGTGGTTCTGTATTTTCTATATCTGCTGCATTGTTTTAAACTTCACTCAGGTCTGTCTTTATTTCAGAAACATTTTCTACTGAAATCTCTTCAGAGAGCGTTTTCTGCAGTGGTTACTCTATTCTCATCTTCAGGGATACCAATTACACATATGTTGGTTCTCCATGACCTGCCCTTGGTACACATCCTTCTCCTCACTATCCCTTTCATGTCTTTGTCCTTTTTCACTGATTCCTTCAGTTAGGTGCAGGGACTCCTGCCAGCACCTGTCAGTTCATTTTCCACTGTTTCCTTGCCACATCTGTCCAGTTTTAAGGTATGTCACTGCTATCGGCACTCTAAACAGGTATTATCCAGTTTTGCCCACTACTTCCTAGGTGTACCTCTGATTCAGTGTCCTACAGAAATGGAGACAGGGGAAAAAGACTGAACTGAACTTGTAAATGTAAAGGGACATTCTGTATGCCGGTATTTTCTCACAGAGAAAAATATAAACTACCCTGGCTGATGTGGCTCAGTGGATTGAGCATTGCCCTGTGAATCAAAGGGTCACTGGTTCGATTCCCAGTCTAGGGCACATGCCTGGGTTGCAGGCCAGGTCCCTAGTAGGGGGTGCACGAGAGGCAATCACACACACTGATGTTTCTCTCCCTCTCTTTCTTCCCCCTTTCCCTCTCTAAAAATAAATAAATAAAATCTAAAATGAAAAATATAAACTATATCGTGAGTCCCTTTTCAGTTGGGGAAAAGGCATTTACCTCTTTTTCAAGTATGTCGAAAGCTAATTTGGCTGCAGCATCTTTTGCTTCCTTCTTTGATTTACCTTCAGCTGGTGGATATTCTTTCTCATCTATCATAACTTGAAATTTAAACCTGAGTACCAAAAAAAATCACAAAATATTATTAAACTCATGCATTATCTAGAGACAAGTATTCTAATCCCCACTGCCCCTTATAACCACCTTTGAAGTTCTGACCTATGTTCAATATAGAATTGAAACAGTCACCTCCAAACAGCATAATAGCACATCATCTTAAAGCGTGGGAAAGCTTATGTCCTCTTTTTTCTCCAGAGTCCTCTGAAGTTACAACTTTATACCAAGAGGACTCTCTCACAGAACTCTATCGCAACTTTGCTCTAAAGCACTGACTTCAAAATTCTGCCAGAGTTGCCATTCCCCTAGTTTATATTTTATGGGTATATATCCTTTCTTAAATAGCATCTTACCTTGAGTCATGTGGAGGTCCTATCCTAGACAGTTCACGATAGTTAATGTTTACATTGTTCTTCTGACCGTATCTATTAAGTGTTTCCATGAAGAAACCTGGTGTACGATTATCAGCCATTTCCTCTCCCAGGAATCTACAATACAAGTGATGTTGGAAAGAAGTGACACTCACAGAATATACTTAATCAGTTTTTCCCAATCCAGTTTAAGACACAAAATGAGGTTAGAGTTTCCTTTATATGACTCTTCTCAGCCATACATAAATCCAGAAAAAAACTCTCTTTAAAAATCTTTCCCTCTGACGGACTGCACAATCAAAGCTAATTTCTCCAAAGTGTTCTACTTTCAAAACTCAAATGGCCAAGAAAAGAAAGGGGCTTGTCTCTTTAACTCTGCTCTTTGTCTCCACTGACTGTCTAGCACAAGTTTTTCCACCTGCTTGAGAAGGTAAAAAGGCTTCAGAAGTAGAATTAGAATTCTTTATGTTGAGAAGAAAAAGGTTGACGTTATATACATAAAGCGAAGTGTAGGAAATCATGAAGGATCTCACTATATGGAAGTAGAATCTCTGATGAAATCCCACAAATCATCCCTCTGAAATTTGCAGAAGTGAATGTTAGGTAAATTATGACCCCCATTTATGGGCCACACTGGACTAATTCAGTAGCAATGATTTAAATAATGGGCAAAATCTAAAGAATGTAGAATCTACATATAAAAGCCAAAACTACAAAACCCTTAGAAAAAACATAAGGGTAAATCTTCCTAACCATATTTGGCAGTTGAGTCTTTGCCACGACAACAAAAATGCAAACAACAAAAGAAAGCAAATAAATTAGGCTTCCTCAAAATTAAAAACTTTTGTGTTCCAAAGGACACACTGACAAAAATAAAAAGACAATCTATAGAATGGGATATTTATAGTCATATATATGATACAGGTCTAGTATCCAGAATATGTAAAGAACTCATAACTCAACAGCAAAGTGACAAGCCAACTGAAAAGTAGGCAAAGGAATGAAACAGTCATTCTCTGAAGAAAATGTACACATTGCCAAGCCTGTAAAAAGATGTTCAACATCATTATCATTAGAGAAATGCAAATCAAAACCCCAACTAGATGCCAGCTCATACCCACAAGAAGGGCAATAGTAATAATAACACAGAAAATAAGAGTGTTGATGAGGATGTAGAGAAACTGGAACATTCTTACATTGCTGCTGGGAATGCAAAACAGTGCAACTCCTATGGAAAAGAATCTGATTATGTCCTCAAAAAGTCAAACTTAGAATTACCATATAACCCAGCAACTCCACTTCTGGGCCTATACCCAAGGAATTGAAAAACAGGTTTTCAAACAAGTACTTACATAGGAATGTTCATAGCAGCACTACTCACAACAGCCAGAAAGTAGAAACAAACCAGACGTCCATCAACTGAGGAATCATTAACAAAATACAGTATATGCACACATGGGGTCTTTATTCAGCCATAAAAATGAATGAAGTATAGAAACATGCTACAACACAGATAAACCCTGACAACACAGTAAATGAAAGAGGCTAGGCACAAAACATCACCTATTGTATGACCCTCTTTATATAAAACACCCAGAATAGGTAAACCCAGAGAGACAATAAACAGGCCTTGCTGACCTTTTGTTTCTTGTTGGAAAGCTCTTTTGATTTTTCTTCCACGGCCAGTCTTTCTTCTTAACACTTCTTAATCTTCACAGGCTCTAAACGCTAGAGTTCCACAGGCCCTATTCTCTACACTTTCTCCTCAAGGTGATTTCTTTCACGTCAATGACCAGTGATCACCTACTTGTCGTTAACTGAAATTTGCATGTCCCTTCCGACCTCTCTCTGACTTTCAGCTACCTTTATCCAACATCTCCACTTGAATGTCCTGAAAGAATTTTAAACGCAAAAGATCCAAAACTGTGTCTATGATCTTCCTTAAGCCAGTTTGAAGTCTCCTGTCTCAGAAAATGAGTCCACTCTTCACTCGTGTCTGAAAGCCATGAACTGGGAGGCCTCGTTGACCTTTCCTTTCCCTACTTTCTTATCCGTAACAAATCCTTCTACTTCTCCATGATGTCATAGCCATGTTTCTGATTCAAGCCACCACCACCTCACTCCCGGCTGCTGCATGAGCCTCAGAACCAGCTCCTCACAGCCACTGAGACTCCTTCCCCACCCTGCAGCCACTGTGATTTTCTTTGTACTGCTCTTCTCATTGTGGTAAAATACACATAACATGAAATGTACCCTTTTAGCCATTTTTAAGTCTACAGTTCACAGGTATCGAGCACATTCCCGATACTGTGCAGCCATCGTTGTCGTCTATCACCAGAGGTCCTCTCACCTTCCCAAACGGAAAGTCTGCACGCGTTAAACTATAACTCCCCAATTCCCCACCTTCTCATCCCCTGGGGACCAACAATACTTTCTACCTCTATGAACTTGCCTCTATTAGGTACCTCATTGTGAGTGGAGTCATTTGTCTTTTTGTGTCTGGTTATTTCACTTAGCATAATGTGTTCAAGGTCCATCCATGTTGGAGCACATGTCAGACTCTTCTTCCTTTCTAAGGCTGAATAACACTCCATTGCATGTAATACAGTACCACATTTTGTTGACCCATTCATCCTGTATTAGTTCAACTTTTTGGCTAGTGTACAAATATCTGTTCAAGTCCCCACTTTCATATATTTTGGGTATATACCTAGAAGTGAAATTGCTAAATCATATGGTAATTCTATGTTTAACATTTTGAGGAATCACCAAATTGCTTTCCACAGCGGGTACATCATACTGTATTTCCACCAGCAATGCACAAGTGTTCCAATTTCTCCACATCTTCACCAACACTTGTCATTTTCCATTTTCTTTCATAGTAGTCACATGATGATCTTTTAAAACATCAATCCAACCACACAGTCCCCATGGCCACCAAAACTGTTGTTTCAAGGTTACCAATGCCCTCCCCATCTCTAAAACTAGCCCTTCGTTCTCGATCCTTACCCACTTAACCTTAAAGCAGCATTTGATGTGGCTGCTTGTTCCCTTCTCCCCCGTCCCTTTCTTAGCTTGGACTTCGAAGACACCACATTCTCTTGGTTTTCCTCCTTTTTCATAAGCTGCTCCTTCTCTGTCTCCTTTCCTAGCTCTTCCTTTCTTCTAAAGATTGGCATGTCCCAGGACCCAGTCCTTAGATCTCCTCTTGGTTTCTCCATCCACTACCTTGGTCATCACCTCTAGGCTTGCGGCTTTATATTCCACCTGTGTAACGAGGATGCTCAAAAGTATCCCTCCAACACTGACTGTTTCCTGATTCCAACTGCTTTTGTCCAACGTGCTCCCTCCTGAAATGCTCTTAACTCTACTCCCGCTGCTGCTTTTGCCTGTTGAACCACTTCCTCCTATAGACCTCAGCTCAAATGTCCTACCAGATGCCCTAGAAGAGGTCCTGACTTGGCACTCTATCACAGCCCTTGTCCCATTACTGCAATTGCTTATTTAACTGCCTTCCAAAAGAGACCACAAGCTACAACAGGGAAGGGTCCAGGCTTATAAGAGGGGCTCAGTAATGAATGAATACATGTATGAATGAACACAAAAATAACTCCAGCTCACCCTCACCTGGAGAACCTGTCACAAGCTTTTATCTCTGTGAAGAAATGCAACATCTGCAACCTCTATCAGCCAGGTGATTCTCACTCATGTGTGAGGACCAACACAGCCTCCTTTGACACCCAGCTCCTATCACAGCCCTGAATGCTTTTAAACTAGTCAGTGAGCTCTTTGGGGAGCAGGTTCTATGTCTCACTCATTTTTGTTATCACCAACACCCAGTGGCAAGTAGTAAACGTTGAACCCCTGAGATACAATCGAATGAGAGAATGATTCATTAAAATAAATACTTCACTGTAAACCTCCTCGTCTTCTCCCTTTTACTCACCTGCTGTTTCCTGGCATCCTTTTTTCATTCACTCAGTAAATGCTTATCAAGTGTCAAACACTGTTCTGGCACTGTGTATATGGGCATGGAGAAGACCAAACAAGTCCCTGCCTGCATCCCAATGACGGGAGAAAATGCCCGTGTGCAGAAACAAGTAACAGGAGTGGATAATGATGGTCAGATGGCCAGAAGCGCTATGATGAAATTAACCGGGGGTATGGGATAGACAGTGCGTTGGTAGGCAGGGGCAGCAATGTGAGGGAGGCGGTTTTAAACACAGCAGTCAGGAAAAGACCCTTCTCAGGAGACAATAGTCGAGTCAAGTCTGAATGATAACAAAGTCCACTCATCAAGGTATGGAGGAGGAGTATCTCAGGCAGAGCAATCCCTGAGGCAGGAACCTGGGCAGACTTTGGAGGGACAACAAGAAGGCCAAGGGGACTGCTGCACAGTGAACCAGGGGTAAGGGCAGGAAAGAGTGAGAGAGGTGAGCAGGCACCACAGCACACAGCCACTGTGGGCCACGGTCAGGGCTGTGGATGTAGGGTTCTACCAGAGGGGTGATATGATTGGATTTGTGTTTCAAATGATCTCTCTGACTCTATGCAGAAAGCAGAGGGGGCAGGGGCTGGGTATGGAAAGGGAAGTAGGACAAGAGAAGTTGGGAAACCAAGCAGAGACTGCCACACTGGTCTGGGTGAGCAATGGTGGCGGCCAGAAGCAGGGTGCTGGAAGTGCCTACGTCTGAACAAAAGCCACACCTTCACATTACTGCTTAGTGCAGTAGGAGAGTCAGACTTTTTATTAAAAGCCACAGGGATCTGGGCTAGACACCTCTCTCAACCTCTGAACCTCTGATTCATGACCTGGAAGCACCTGATTCACAGGTTGCTATGAGAAGTCAGTGGGACGAGTCTCCCACACCAGTGGTCCTCAATAAATGGTTCTCCTGGTCTGCAATTCCAAACCCCCAAAATCATGGAAAACTGAGGTTCGTTTTGTTTTCATTTGTTTTGTTTTGGTAGATTTGTAGCCCCACCCCCAACCCCCCCCCCCCCCAGACCTAGACTGGCATGAGCTACTTAGAGTCTTTATTATGCTTTGTTGCCTGTTTATCATTGACGGCAAAAGCAGCCTGCTGCTCCCAAATCCTGCTGAGAGTATTACACAACAGAGTGTATGCTGTACTGCCTTTCTAAAACCCAGAATCTCCGAACACCAGAACACAACTGGCCAGAGGGTTCACAATAAGCATCTGCAGGTACACCATTGTTTTCCCAGACCCAAGTGCCACTTAGTGTAGTCACCATCAGAAGACCATATGTGAAATCAGAGGCAGTTACAGATCTCAGAACAGCAGTAATGAAAGAGTCCTTATCAATGACTTAACCAGAAGTCCTAGCTCATGCTTTAAATCCTCGGCACTTTCAACTCTGAGTAACTGCTGATCATCAGGACAAGCCAATCTGAATTTAAGTGAAATACATGTGTAAACTTGTAAGGTGCTGAGCTGACATGTTTGAAAAAGTACTTACAAGTTTGGGGAAAAAAAGAAACAGCAGGTTTCTTTTTAAGTAATTTTAATAAATGTTGTTTTAATACTGTTACTCTTTTCCTGAAAGAAATCACGACCATAATCACTAACAACTGTTATACACCTGTCTTACTCATACCCAGAAGTATCTTCGGCTGCGCCCCAAGTGCTACATGTCCATCTTACTCATACCCAGAAGTATCTTTGGCTGCGCCCCAAGTGCTACATGTCCATCTTACTCATACCCAGAAGTCCCTTTAGCTGCACCTCTATATCCTGCCCGTCTGCTGCCTCCTAGAGCAGACAGTGAGCTTCCCAGGGCCAGCACAGTGGTTACATGCAACATTCATTCAAGTAGCATCTGATGCATTAAATGAACTACAGGTCGAGTGCCATGGACCTTCAGGTTCGAATAAGCAAACTGAAGAAAAAGAGCACAGTCTGCCCAAGATTCTAAGTTTCTAAGTGACAGCAGAGAGTATACCTTTTAGCTTCTATCTGGCTAGGCATTTTTAGTACTAACAAAATCACGGGCAATAGGAAATCTCATTATTCTGGAACTCAAAAGAGAAATTATGAATGACCATTGACTAAGCAACTATTTTATGAGCACCTCTTATGTACTAGGTGCTGGGGTTACACCAGTGAGCAAAACCCTGCTCTGGTGAACCTGCTAGTGGAGGAACATGGACAAAACCATAAAACATGTCACAGGGTGATGTGAGTACGATGTTGAAAGCTGAAGCAGAGTGAGGGCGACAGCGAAGGGAGGTGGGGTTCTTTTTACATGCACGTTGGTCAAGGAGGCTGCTCTGACCAACTGACAATCAAGAAATGCTGGGGAAAGAGAAGGACTGGCCCAACCAGGCATCTGGGGAAGAGCTTTCCAGGAAGAAGAGAAGACAGTGCAAAGACCCAGAGGCAGGCGTGTGTGTGTGTGTGTGTGTGTGTGTGTGTGTGTGTGTGTGTGGCTGTGTCCCAAGAACAGCAGGGTGGCCAGAGTGGAGGGCACAAGGGGCCCTGCCTGTGGGCCCATATGCGGTGCTGAAAAGAGGTATATGGCAGACTGGGTGGGGACGGAGTTGGGGCAGCGGCTAAGGCCGGGCAACTGGGAAATAATTGTAACTGTCCAGGCAAGAGATTTGTTGGCTAGGCATTATTGAGCCAATGTATGGGTCATTCAGGCCTATGTATTTCCCATCTCTCCGTAAAGTCAGAGAGCCTGTTTTCCACTAGATCCCCACCCCCCAACCCCGGCCAGGGCTTGTAGGATACTTGCTCTGATCAAAATTCTTCTCAGGGAGAAAATGGCTTTCTGTTCTTAGCGCTCTGTGCGGATCCGGGAAGGGTCCCGCACCTTGGCTGCGGGCCTGCGTCCGCGCTACCCGTGCGGCGGGGCCAGGGGTCTGGGGCCTCTCACCAGTGTCCACCTCCGGGGCTGGGGATGCAGGCTAGGGATTGGGGCTGCGCGCGCCTGGGAGCTTTTTGGCTCTTGCCGCCCCCCACCCCCGCGCTCCCCACGCGGTCCACCCTGCTCACCTCGCGCCACCGCAGTCCGAGGAGCGCAGCTGGGTCTGGCCAGCTCGCTCTCAGTTTCGTTTTCCCCGCGGACTCCGCCTTTCGCTGCAGCCGCCCGGCCCTCTCCCGCACACTTCGTCACACGCTCTCGGGCCGCGGGAAACGGGCGCCTTCGCGCTGAGGCCAGCAGGGGCGGGCCCGGCTCCACGTGCCGCCTTCGCGCCTGGGCCTGTTCAGGCCCGGGGGGAAGATCCGCAGGAGGTGGGGCGTTCACAGGGGTCTCCGAGCGAGCGCCGGGCGGCGTCCCAAGAGCGCGCTGCACTGGGCTCAGGGACTGACCGTCTCAGTTCCTCTTCCTCGCAAACACGTGGGGGTAAGAGCGGTATTATCAGCTCCATTTACAATAGAAGAAACAGTACATCCCATCGCCCAGAGTCTTGAGCCTTGTAAGTGTCAAAGACAGCATTCAATTCAAGATCTGGCCCATAAACGGAAGCACTCGTTCCCTTTTCCACACTGCTGCCACGTCACAGTTACAAGGCTGGGGACGAAGAGGCCTGGGGGCATACTCTTCCTTCTGTTTTGCACCCTTCCATCCTTCATTGAACAGATACTTGGCAGCCGCTATATCCAGCACCAGCCAGTTCCGCAGTTAGAAGAGTCACCTGCCCCCAGGGAGACTTCATGGAGTTCACTAGCAAAGCCCTTACCAGTAGTCCTCGATTTATTAAAAAATCAAATCCTACTCACCAAATGGACTAGGAAACACTTCCAGAGTAATACTGGCTCACTGGCACGTGATTGAGGAGTGCTGAGAACTTACTCCGCAACAATATGGCAACATACGTGCCATTACTATGCCCATTTAACAGATGAGAAAACAGGTTTGAGACGAAGCACAGGGAAGTTAAGTAGTCACAGCTGGTAAGCAGGGAGCTAGAATTAAAACCAGGAGTCTGTGCCATCAAATCTTAGCTAGAGTAAATGAGAGAAGTGGCCCCACGATGGACCCCAAGTGTACGCCACATGTTGGGCATTGGCTCTAAGAGCCCTTTTCCACTTCTCTTCTACATCCCCGCCCCTCCCCATATTGTAGGGTATCGATGGCTACACACAACATTTTCCTTGTAGCGCTGGACACAGAGTTTGAGCATATCGGGTTCTCTTGTGAATGTTCACCAAAGACAGCCATTTCTTAGACGATTTTGAGAAGCAGATGGGCAAGAAGATTTCCTTGAATACATCATCTTTTCCCCAGGTGGTAGTTCAAAAGCAATGAAGAGGATGTGACGGCAAGAATGCACGATATGTGTGAGTTCATCAACACGGAATTCTCATCAAAGCTAGTTTGGCTGCTGAGCATCCAGTGCGCCCACAGCAGAGCCCAACCCTGGTCCCTCCGTGTGGATTACCATACTCCAAGGGGGCCCAGCCAGCCACTTTGTGACAGACTGCTTGCAGGGAGCCCTTCCATCATGGAGTGGGCAGGTATTTGTGGAGTAAACATGTATTTCACTTATGAATTGGCTTTTTCTCCCTGTAATGCTTCTGCCAGCAACATCATTGTTGGGCATTCTAAATACCTGTTCACCGTCATGGTATCCCTCACTAATGAACCCATTTTACAGAAAAAGAAGTGAGGCAGTACACTGACTATCATAGAGTTCAATGGCTTTATTATGAACCTCATCACCCAAAAGCAGCTGGCCTTATAGGACAGTGGGCTGGAGTACTGAAGACTCAGTTATAGCCCCAGGTAGGAGCCAACACTTAGCAAGCTGGGAATACTGCCCTGTAAGTGCAGTATATGCTCTAAACCAAGTTGCTGGTTTTTCTCCATGCCATAAGACTGGGAATCAGGAGAAGTTAAAGGGTTGTCTCCCACAGGTAGACCTTACCATACACTTGCAAATCAAGTGCTTCCTGCTCCTGTGACATTGGGCTCTGTCTCCACTAGAGGACACAGAATTCCTTGAACAGGAGCTTGAAACTGTATCTGGATATTGCAGGTTCATCGTGTCATTAAGTCATCAAGAAAAGAAGGGGATTACTGAACTGGCTGGGGAGACTGATATGAATTGCGAAGGGGAAATAGTGATGCAGCCACACAGTGGAGTCAGGGACTTCTCTGGGGTTCCTTTAGTAATCCTGTTTTCAATGATAAGTGTTCATGGAAGTCCAAAGCTGCTCAACACAAGCAGGACTTTGCCTTCAGGTCCTTCAGGGTTGTTGATTTGTACCACCCTACTAGCTGGGGAGACACCTGAGGGCAAAGGGAACAAATGAATAAGGAAGCTGTGAGCACCAACTATGGTCTCACGACCAGTTGCAAAATAAAGGACCACAGAAGCTATGCATGGGGTTTTTTTTTTTTTCACTTACTTTGCTTTTGTATGTATTCACTAACTTTTCATTGCTTTCCTCTTTCCTTTTATATGAAATTTGCTCAAGGTAGTTAATTTTATAAGGTGGTCTTTACACGAAAGTGTCTTAGAGGGGGATTGTGACTAAAATAGAAGAGGAAGGAACATCACGTTACAACGAGTATAAAGATTTAAAGGCTAGGATGGGCACGTTTTCCTTGGAAGAAGGGAATGAGTTAGGCGGGAAGGTAGTGTTGTGGTTTGCTTCCAAGATTATTGGTGGAAGGAGTGGGCTGTACTAGATATTGTTCATTTTTATTCAGCTTCTATTTACCATATCTGCCATGTATAATACACACATTTTGCCCAAATTTTTGAGGGGGAAAAAAGGGTTCTCATTACACATGGTTAGTACCTGAAATACCTTGTATCTGTTCTTGTGTTTTGTAATTATTTGTTATATAAAATTTCTTGTACCATAATGTTAAAAAATACTAAAATCCCTTTACAATACAAAAAAAAACAAGTATCTACATATAAACAAATAATTGAATTTAAAAGTTAAAATAAAAGGTTTTTTTCTTGAAGTTTGGGCCAAAAATGGGGTGTGCATTATACATAACAAAACACAGCATTCCTTGCTGTCTCATCATCTCCTGGGTTGTAACATATAGAAGGTTAAAAACAGATTTTCCAAATTTCCATGGAGTTGAAGTTATGGATATAGTTGGAGCTCTGCCCATGACTGGTGAGCAACAGGTACAAGATTTAGAAGATGGAAGTGAGGGTAGGACATCGTTTTTGGCTGACAAGCTGACAAGTAAGTTCCCATGCTCAGGAGTGTTTGCAAGGGCTGGACGACAGGTTCCTTGTCAATTCTCCAAGGATCTGAGCATCTGTGTTGGCAGCAGTAGCAGTGGCAGTGGCAGGGTCCTGAACTTTGGATAGCAGCTGCTGTGGAGGTCTCCCGATTTCCATCCCACCATTCATTCTAACAATTACATGTTAATTTCTTACTGAACCTTTTTGTTAGACATGTGTACAGTGGTTTGTGATTACTGTCCTGAGCAAGGAGAAGCCTCTCTATAAATGGAGCCTACACTGAGAGATTATAGTTGAGAAGTGAAGATTAAAAATCATGTCTTCATTTGAGCCCCAGATCAAGTCTCACCTGAAGCCAGCCCCATCTCAGACTGATCAGAGCCCCCTCTGTCCTTTTCTCTCTACTATAAACTAATTTGTGTTTGACTTTCTGATAATTACATCAAAAGCATGATCTGATATACTAAAGACACACTTCTTGGAAATAAATCCCTTCATTCATTCATTTATTCAATAAAAAATTTTTGAGTGCCTCAAATGTGAAGCACTGTGCTGGAAATACATCATGGCCAAAAATAATATTGTGTCCTTGAGTATTAATACAGAAATTAGTTTTCTAAGGACAGTGTGTTTGTAGGAAGAAAGCAACTTTGTGTTTAGTGGAATGGATACGTAGATAACGTAGATACATAGGCAGAGCAAAAGCATCTTTGATAACTTTTATTAATTTTCAGTGATGGCCTCATTTAATATGTAACTCTCTGTGAATTCCAATTTGATTATTGACCTATAGTTAGTGCCATAGATCTATTTTTCAATTTTGACACTCACAATGACTTTAGATCTAAGGTATAACAGTACAACTAATCACATACAGATAAAAGAATCTTGCATGTATCAAGTATTTTTAATTTTGTAACTAGCAAATGTAGCTTCCTACATTGGGAGATTGCTGAGTAATATAGCTTATAAACAGGAAGTGTGAAGCCTCCAGCTTCGTTCCTCTTTCTCAAAATCACTTGGGCTACTTGGCATCTTTTATAGCTCCATATGAACTTAAGGATGGTTTTTTCTATTTCTATGAAAAATGCCATTGGAATTTTGATAAGGATAGCATTGAATCTGAAGAGTGGTTTGTGTACTGTGGCTATTTTAACAATATTAATTCTTTCAATCCATGAACACGGGACATCTTTCCATTTGTTTGGGCCATCTTCATTTTTTTCATCAATGTCTTCAGTTTTTAGTGAAGAGATCTATCATCTCCTTTGTTAAATTATCCCTATTTTATTCTTTATGATGCTATTGCAAATGGGATTGTTTTCTTAATTTCTTTATTATAGTTTTTTATTAGTGTATATAAATGCAACTGATTTTTGTATACTAATTTTGTATCCTGTAACTTTAATGAATTCCCCTATTATTTCTAATAGTTTTTTTTTTGTTTTGTTTTGATGGAGTCTTTAGGGTTTTACATACACAATATCATGTTCATCTACAAACTTCTTTTCTGATTTGGACAACTTTGATTTCTTTTTTTTTGCCCAATTGCTCTGGCTAGGACTTCCAGTACTATGTTGAGTAAAAGCATAAAGAGTTGGCATCCTTGCCTTTTTTTGATGTTAAGGTAACATCTCTCAGTTTTTGTTAAGTATGATGTTATCCATGGGCTTATCATATGTGACTTTTACTATGTTGAAGTACATTCCTTATATACCCATTTGTTTAGAGATTTATTATGAATGGTGAAATTTGTCAAATGCTTTTCAGCATCTATTGAGATTGTCATATGGGTTTGTTTGGTTTTTGTGTTTTTTTTTTTTGGTTTCTGTTTTTAGAAAGAGGGGAAGGGAGTGAGAAAGGGAGAGAAATATTAAGGTGAGAAACATCGATTCAATCAGTTGAATTGATGTTTCTTATACAATGCCTCTTCTACGTGCCCCTGACCAGGGACCAAACCACAACTAGACATGTGCCTTGACTGGGAATCAAACTGGCAACCTTTTGCTTTGCAGGACGATGCCCAACCAATTGAGCCACACCAGTCAGGGTCTCATGTGGCTTTTATCCTTCATTTTGTTAATGTGGTGTATCACACTTATTGAACCATCCTTGCATTCTTAAAATGAATTGCACTTGATGCTTTCAATGTATTTTTGAATTCTGTTTGCTAATATTTTGTTAAGAATTTTTGCATCTATTTTCATCAGGGATATTGGCCTGTAATTTTCTTTTCTTGTAGTGTCCTTGTCTAGCTTTAGTATCAGAGTAATGCTGGCCTCGTAAAATTAGTTTGGAAGAGTTCCTTCCTCTTCTATTTTTGGAAAGATTTAGAGAAGGATTAGTATTAATTTTTAAGTGTTTGGTAGAATTCATGAATCAAGGTCTCTGATCCTGGACTTTCTGTTGTTGGGAGGTTTTTGATTACTGATTCAACATCTTTACTAGTAATTGGTCTGTTTAGATTTCCTATTTCTTCATTATTCAGTCTTGGTAGGTTGTATATTTCTAAGAATATTTTTTTCATTTCTCCTAGGTTTTCTAGTTTGTTGTATAATTGTTCATAGTATTTCCTCATGATGCTTACTATTTCTTTGTTATCAATCTAATGTCTCCTCTTTCATCTGTGAATTTATTTTCTTTAGTCCTTTCAGTTTACTTTGTAAATTTCTCCCTATTTACAAATAATACTGCAATAAACATTTTCCTTCATGTATTCTTATGGAAATGTGGGAAAATTTCTCTAGGGTTTTTCCTTAAGTATATAATTGCTGGACTGTAAAGTATATAGACATATGACTTTATCAATTTTCTTTCCAAAATGTAAAAGAGTATACTTCTCTTCCTCCTCTCCCACCCTTTGTGCCATTTTTGTCATACATTTTCTTCTATATACATTATAAGCCACAAAGTTCATTGTTACTATTTTCACTTTGAATAGGCAATGATCTTTTAAAGAGATTTAAAATAGCTCTTATATATACCCACATATTCACCATTTCTGGTGCTCTTTATTCCTTTGTGTAGATTAAAATTTCCATCTTATATCATGTTCCTTTTGCCTATACCCACTTTATCTAATATTTCTCTTTTTTTAAGGTTTTATTTATTTATTTGTTTGTTTATTTTAGAGAGGGGAAGGGAGGGAGAAGAGAGTGAGAGAAACATCAATGTGTGGTTGCCTCTTACACACCCCCTACTGGTGGCCTGGACTGCAAGCCAAGTGTGTGCCCTAGACTGTGAATCAAACCAGTGACCATTTGGTTCATAGGTCAGCACTCAATTCACTGAGCCACACCAGCCAGGGCTCTAATATTTCTTATAGTGCACATATGTTAGAGACTATTTCTCCCAGTTCTTTAGTATGTAAAAAGCCTTTATTTTATCTACATGTTTGATAGATTTTTACAAATCCTTTTTGTAGCTAACTGTCCTTGCCTCAAAAAGTGAATAAACTTAAGTTTTTGCTTAAAAACTTCAAATGTTATCATTATTGTTAAATTTGTATTATTTACCCCTACATGTTATTTACCTATGATTATTTGTTTATTTGACCAATTTATTATTTAATTATTCAAATTCAGTTATTATTAAGGAAAATAAAATACCCAGGCCTGAAGAAATGACCAGAATCAAGATTGGCAATATGACTCATACTTCAACTTTGCTCCTAGGGCAGTGCCTGCTAAGCACTCTCTGAATTTTTTATCCATTTCCTGGTTCTGAGTTTCACTGAACAGATGTTTCCAGTCACCAACTTCACCTACAACACAGAAAAAAAGCAGCAGACTCAGACACTTGTTAGAATATTTTTTCTTAAGTTTACCATGTTGAAGTGTAGTGCTTCACTTTGAAATGTGAAAACAGGCACATGGAAAATATAGTCTTAAAAAACTAATGTAATTCCTCTTATAAAATTAACCATATCCACTGGTGGGGGGGGGGGTTCCCCATCTGTGGTGTGGTTGGGGACATGCTTTCTTTATATCACTGAGCAGACCCTTGGGCTCAGTAATCTCCCGTCTCCAACTCTCTCCCCACACTCAGGACCTAAATGTCTGGTGTTTCTTCAGAGTCAGTTTATTCTTCTTTAAAGTCTTCTAAATACCTTAAATACTCCTTAAGGAGTATTTAAGTCCTCAGATCCTGAATATTTTGCAAAAAGTGATTATTTTTCCTGGGACTAGAATATGTTTTTCTTACTAGTTTTTCAATGTTAAAGGAAGTTACTTCTTCCTTTATCATCTTTTGATGATTTGGGTGGAAGTTATGAGTTCCTTGTTGCATAGCCATTGAAATTTATTCTTTCATAAAGGAGGGTTTAAAGACATGAGGAAATGCTTAGATATATGAAGGAAATAAAATAAAACACAACTGTTTACACATGCCATCAATTATATAAAGTATCACAGAATAAAGCTGGAAGAAATATGCCAAAAAGTTCAGCCTGCCTCTGGTGGGAGAAATGTGGATACTTTTTAATGCTTTTTCACATGTTTCAGTGCTTTCTGAATTTTCTACAAGAAATAGTAGTAAAAATCTTGTTATTGCATTATTTATGTTAAGCTTTTTCTATTCGATATGGTATTTGATTAACAATGTATAGAAAAGTTGCATTTTCCCCTCTTTAAAGCCATAAGACTAGGCATAAAAATCAGGGCTAAAGTCAGGACTCAAACCAAAGTCAGAGTTACAATCCATGTTCCATTCACAGTGGATTTTAAAAGTAGGTTTGTATTTGACAAAGTGTATAGAGTTAGTCAAACAAACTTAGGTTCAAGTCCTGACTCCATCATTTATTAGCTTTGTGACAATGGACAAATTAATATTTCTGAGCATGCTGCCCACTTTGTAAAATTAAGGATTCAATATCTTTTTTTGCTATAAAATTTAAGCCCAGCAAGCGCCAAACACATGAATAGATGCCTAATAATCAATAGCTGTTGTGATGTGTGCTGCCTCTAAATCGCATTATACTTTCATTACATAGGCAATAAAATAAACTGGCAATCCCTAAACTATGCCATCATAAATTTCCACAGGGCATTGGAATGCTACAGTGAAATTTACTAAAATCATCAGTGCTGGGGACAGCTAGTTGCCTATCCAATATCATTTTCTTTTTCTTCCTCATTTACAAAACCCTAATTTTAATTGGGTTTTGTGTCCACCTTTCGAAAATCACATTTCCCAGCCAAGGGCGCAGTGAGAGGTGGCCAGGGGATATAAGAAGTCACAGATTGAGGCTTCCAGCGATGCTCTTAAAAGGGGTCTCACTCAGGTGACACACAGGATTCTGTCTCTTGCCTTTCCCTTTTTATTTTAATGAAACAATCCTCTAATGTTAACATAATGGTGGAGCCCTAGCTGCTCCCTTGTCATCAGAAGGTGACAAGCAGAAAGGTAAAGGAACTTAGTATTCTAAAAGATATTACAAGCTGCCAGTTCCGGCCCTAAACTGTGGCCAGACTTACTGTTGAGGGAGAGAAAAAGAAAAACCGGTCATATTTAAGGAAGAGTATATGAATGGCCTTGTTTACAGGCCAATTGACAGATGTCCTAGAAACCAACGCAGCTTCACCTTTGCGGAACAGGAACGGGCCGACAGCCCCGTGTGTCTGCTGGGACTGGGCTCGCATGGCCTGGAAGGTGCTCTGAGCAGCAACAGTGTGAATCTGCTCCCCAGTGAGAGAGAATCCAAAGAACTCAGCGATGTGCTCTATTCCAGCAGCCAGATTCTGAAAACAAAATTTTAAAAGATAACTTTCTTTCAGTGTCAATTGTGCCATAAGCAAAGATGGATTTCTTAGACAGAATGGATTTATTAAGCCTATTTAATTCATCTGTTTATCTCTCTACTCAGATTTACTTTGATATCTATCTCTGTATAAATAGTTGAGATGTCCTTAGAAGATATTCTATATTAATGCTACCTTATAGTTTAAATTTATAATTCTTTCAAACTACTTAGGATATAAATAATGACATTAAACATTAATTAAGAGGTTAGCATTTTATCTAAGATGATAGTCATTTTTTTAAAAAAGCATCAGTCTAATATAGCTGAGAAAATCAATGTATTCATATATGCTCATTTGAATTCTCTTTTCTTCTGAATCCTATTTATAGCTAATGTTTAATGTCATCAAGGAAGTATGATATTTAGAATAATAAATAGAAAGGATTTTTAAATTTATCTTGTCTAAATACCCTTGTAAATCATGAACCTCACCCTTACCCCCCAACAGTATCCCTGACAGGGGAGATGCATTAAATTTCTTAAACTATATTCTACAAAACACTCATATACCTCACTCAGGATGGTTATAGATGTTTCATAAAAAAAGAAAAGAAGGGTGAATGGTTGAGGTCAAATAAGCCTGGAATCCTTTGGGTTAAACAGAGGTAAGACTTTTTTTCCCCCTACAGAGTCTCTCAGTCTTTAATATGCAAAATGCGATGTGAATCTCCCAAAGGAGTGGGCTATCTAATACAGCAGTTCCGAAATCAGTCTCAACAAGCGACTTTCCTCCAACCCCCAAGAAAGAATTATTAATAGCTGGGGCAACACCAGCATTCTATGGAGGACAAGCTTCAGAAACATAACTCTAGACTAGACGGAGAAGAGACGAAATAGCTATGTTCTTCCATGTTATATAAATGCATCCCGTAAACCGAAGAGTTAGAGTGTATTATACTTTCCTTTTATGAGACAGGAGAGACGTGTGTTAAAAACACAATTCAGTTAGAGGGCATTTGAGCCTTTGACACTCTCCCTTCCCATTAACACACTTTCTTCACTGGGGGTCCGGGCTCTGGTTACCTCCTGCCTCATTAGGCACTCCTGCTTAGTCTCCTTTGCTGATTCCTCCTCTTCGCCCCCAACTCTTTTCGTTGGAGGGCTCCTGGGCACAGTTCTCATTCTCCTTCCCTTCTCTATCCGCATACTTACATGCATAGGTAGGTAATCTCACGGCTGTAAATGCTGTCTGTGTGTCAGTGATTCACAAATATCTGTAGCCCAGAGCTCTTACCTTCAAGAGTTTTATGCCCAACTGCCTACTAGATCTCTCCATTTTGGTGACTGGTGACTAACATGCATCTCAAACACAGCAAACCCGAAAATAAACCCCAAGTTGTCCCCACAATCCTACTTCACCTGCCATCTCCTACTCAGATGATGGTAATTCAATCCTTCCAGTAAGCTAGGCCAATAATATCGGAGTTCACCTTGATTCCTCTTTTTCTCTCACTACTCTTATCCCCATTGAATGCAGCAGCAAATCCTGCTGGGTCTTCCTCCAATATATACCCGGAATGCAACCACTTTCCATCACCTCCACTGCTTCTTCTGGTCCGAGCCACCGTCTTCCCTTGGCTGGCGCCACCTCACAGCTTCCCCAGCACTATCCTGGCCCCTCCCCAGTCTGATCTCACATACCAGCCAAGATGATCCTATTGAAAACACAGCAGCTCCTATCACTGCTCTTCTTGAATCCTACAGCGGCTTTCCATTTTACTCAGAGCAGAGGCCAAAGTGAGGTCAGAGTTCTGTCATAACATTCCTCATACTCCACCCAGCGTGGGTGGTGATCTCATGGGTTACTCTCCCCTTACCTCCCTCCTGTCCCTTACTCATACAGAACTCCCCCTCAGGACCTTTACTTCAGTCATTCTCTCTACCTGTACTTGTGCCAGGTACCCATTTGGCTCATTCCCTCACTTCCTTCAGATCTCTCCTTAAATCGCATCCCCTCCATGACGCTTCCCGGACCATCCTATATTATACTGGGGTTTGTCCAGCATCCTAATCTCCCACCCCCAGGCATTTCCAGTTTTTCTTAATCAGCTACACCATTTTTTTTCTCCTCACATATTATATACATTTTCATTGTTATTGTGTTTATTATTTATCGCCCTGTCTTCTTTCCTTCCCCCATGAGAATGTGAGCTTCTCTGAAGCAGTGAACTTTGTCTGGTCTTACTGGTATAACACCAGGACTTAGAACACTGCGGAGCAATCAGTCACTAAATGGTTGTGAATAAACAATTACAAATGACATGGAAAAATCAATTCACAGCCAAATGCGTGTTCAATTAAATCTCAGTTAAGACCTACCTATTGTTTTTCATATTTCCAATTTGGACCATGTATGATAAAAGGAAAATAAAGCAGAAACTGTTGGTAATACATTGCTAAGCATTATTTATTTCTGTTAAATAATCAACCTAAGCACTTATGCATTGTTTGGTTTTTTTCCCCTAGCACTATATCATATATACAAAACATTCTGTTTTTCTAGCAGAAGTAAGGCCTGCTTGAGTGTGGTTGGTAGGGCAATAATATGGGTATAATCATTAATAGCTTTAACTTGAACATTTCATCTAAAATGTCATATGGTGTGCTTGAGTGTGATATTGTTATGTTACAGAATTACATGCTTATGATTCTGTAATAAAAAAGGGGCATTATTTGTGCTGGACCCTGTATGTATTCATACAAGAAGACATTATAAGTGCTCTGTGTTGTAGTTCATAATTAATTTTGTTATAGAATATCAATAATTGTAATCTTACCTCTTTCAAGTCTTCATATAATATAAACTTAACATTTTCATCATCAAAATGTTTGTTCCAATTAATTGCAAAATCAAAATAGCTTCCCCAAGAAACTGAAAACACAAGAAAAAAATTCTTAAGGAATTCTAAATAACTGAGGTTAAAATGATAGATGGTTAATACATGCTCTAAAATATGTGCTCTCTATATATGAGTGAGCTCAAACAACATGTTTGTAAGTTATTACAAATCCATGCTCCACAGGAAGTGGCACAAGCCGGTCCTGTTGTTAGATTTGTATTAATTTTATCTTCACAAATAATAACACAACTAAGCAAGCTGTACAATGGTTTGATAACAACTATAGACATTCATGAATATTTAGGTGAATAAAATAATTCAGAAATAGTGAAGGATACATGAAAATTGACAGAGATAATGCCAGAAAGAAATGATGAGACAGATATTATCTAGGCCCGTATTATCCAATGGAACTTTAATGTAAGCCACACTTCTAATTAAATTTTTTTTATTTTTTCCCAACCTTAAAATGTTTTGGTAGCCACATTAAGAAAAGCAAAAAAGAAACATATGGAATTGATATTAATATTTTCTTTTATTTAACCTAATGTACCCCAAAATATTACTTCAGCATGTAATCCACATAAAAATTATTAATGAATCATAACACATTGTTTTTGTATTTTAAGTCTTAAAAGCTAGTGATTGTTTTGCACTATAGAGAATTTTAATTTGAATGCTAAGTTTTTACCTGAATCACTTGATATGTTTTCAGACTTCACAAAACTTATATTTGGAAAAGTAGATTCATACATTCAACTTGTACCAAACTTACTTTAAAAGTTTCCAGTAAATGCATTGAGTAGTTTTTAAACCTAAATTTAAATTAATTAAAATAGAATAAAATTTTAAAAATTAACTTCTCAGTTGTGTCACCTTTCAAGAGCTCAGTTCCCACATGAGACTAGCGGCTGCCATACTGGACAGTGTGGAGTTAGACATGGATCGGCTGCGCCGCTTACTAACTGCGTGACTTCAAGCAACTCCCTAGACCTTCGTGCCTTACTTTCCTCATCTGTAGAGTGGTGTCTGGTGTGTGAGGTTTAAATGAATTCACACATGTCAAATGCCTAATCAATAGTATGCACCAATTCAATAAATTTGGGCTATTATTAATTCATTAATAGTAATAATAATCTCATAATTACTGTAGTTATCATCCTTATCATGAAGCCCTTACTTTCAGCCAGGCAGTTTCTATATGATTTATTTGTTGTGGCAAATACAGTAAGTTTCTTACCCTTTATCCAATACACTCCCTTATTTGTTGCTAACCAAACCCCTTTCGTGACTCCCTTAGAAGAACTGTGATTGGTGACACAATGGTCTGGCCAGTGAGACACAAGCAGGGGCCACGGATTGAGGGTCTGCTGGAAAGCAATTGCTGTTTTGGTGAGCGTTCTTCATGATCTGAAGGTGATGGTTAGAGAGACAGTAGCCAACTTGAGAGTACAGTGTGAAAAGCAACAGTGTGAGTCCAAGGGAGTGTCAGAGGTTCTGGCCTTCCTCGCTGGGCTGCTGAACCAGTTGCCTACCTTCAGACTTCTTGTTAGGTGAGAAAAAGAAAATCCGATGTGTTTAGTCCACTGTGGTCAGGATTTCTGCTCTTCTAAATGTAGTATTAATTGACATGCATATACTTTACACTTCAATCTTTAGAGCAATCCAATGAGACAGGTACAATTTTTATGCCCATTTTGTTAATGGGGAAATTGAGAGAGAGTGTAAGTAACCACTTTAAGGCCACACAAGTAGTAAGTTATGGGTACTGTACATGTCAAAGACAGTCTGACACTAGACCTTGTGTGGCCAAACAAAATCTATGCTGCCATACCTCTAGTAGGTCAGATACTCTTATGTGTACTTTACAAGTAAGAAAAACCAAAGTTCGGAGAGATCAAAAGCATTCCTCAAAATCCCCCAGGCAAGGAGTGTTTTGAATCTGAGTTTCAGTTCTAGCTCTGCTTTTTAATAGCTGCTTGACCTTTCTTTTTTCTTTTTCTTTTTTACTTTTTTATCGGTGTGACCTTTCTATGCCTCTATTTCTTTCTTCATAAAATGGGGATAGTAACAGTATTATATTTATAGGGTCTGATGAGAATTAGAGTTAAACAGTGTGTGCTAGGGAAAACATGTCGTGCCTGGCATGTAGTAACTGCTCAGTAAGCAGTAGCTATTTTATTTTGTATAATATTAAATACTAATATATAACAATTAGTGGTAGACCCCAGATCCAGGCCTTCTCATTCCAACCTTACATGTTTACGAGTGCATTCAGCTGCCTCCTTAAGTTGAATTTATCAAATTCACAAGGCAGAAATTCCATCCAGGTTATCACCATCATATCTAATTATTGTCCATCAAATAATTAGGTCAAAGGATGGATAAGCCAACAAAGGTTCCCTAAAACAGATTATCCAAATGATGAGGTTTCTCGTGGTTGGATGTTCTCTTGTGTTACTAAGGGGACAATGTTTCAGACTTGCCCCGACTCCATCCTGTCTCAGTGAGTGGTTACTAGACAAACCAGAGTTTTCTTAGTGTTGCTTCCTAAGCACCTTCTGTGCATTTTCCTTTTACTCCCACATCCAAGTCCCAATATTTCATCTTTTCTAAGGAGCCAATTGGTACCCCATGTCACTGCCGTGCTCATCACCTTTAAAAGTGGTCCTCTTAGAGGGCCCTAGCAACGACTTCTCCACTAGGCTCACCTGGCATTAATTCTACCTTCCACACTGCAAAGACTCAACAGAGCCCCCACTAAAAGGAGGCATTTATTCATCTGTGGCCACTGTACCCACGGAAGTAGAGTCGCTGCCACTTACAAGCAGTGGGACCATTGGCAGGCAAGTGATTTGACTTTTTGATGCATTTTTTCATTTGTGCAATGGAGCCAATACTGCCTTACTCATAGGTTGTTATGGTCTTAAATGAAATCATGAATATATAACACCTAGTTTAAAACTTGGAGCATTAGTAGGCACTTCAGAATTGTAGTTATCAACAACCAGAAGTAAAATATCAAGGTGATCTAACAAAAATTTATTTCTTTTCTGGCAAACAAATATTGTGGTTACTCAGTATTATGGTTATATATAGTTTTTATCACTGTGTTAGAGAATTAAGAGAAATGAACTAGAAATGTTTTTCTGTATGACTCTGTTAGAAGCCTTTGTCCCACATCTGAATGGCCACTCAATACTCATAGTCAATATATAAATTGTCTAAATCACTTTTAAAAATAGTAATGTAGCCCTGGCTGGTGTGACTCAGTGGATTGAGTGTGGGCCTGAGAACCAAAGGGTCGCTGGTTCGATTCCCAGTCAAGGCACATGTCTGGGTTGTGGGCCAGGTCCCCCATTGGGGGCATGAGAGGCAATCACACATTGATGTTTCTCTCCCTCCCTTCCTCTCTCTCTAGAAATAAATAAATAAAATCTTAAAAAAAGAAAAAGAGTAATGTATTGTTTGATGCACAGACTAGTGGTGCTATAAAACTTCATTGAAAAGTTATTTTTGATTCCTGGATCCATCTTAATCTCCTTTCTTTCTTTACCCTAAAACACATCTGAATTTTCACATTTATGTGGTCATCTGTCAAAGTAAGAAGAATTCTTTCACCAACAGCCATACCTTGTCCTTGCATGAACTGTCTGAAGAATTCATCCCAAGAGCCATAGCTTGGAATATCAGGGACATCATTGTGGAAATGGAAAAAAGATACTGCCGTATCTTTAGGGTTTCGGAATATCACCAACATCTAGGGAGATAAAACTAAGTTAATCAATTTAGAACAAAGTTTTGAACTTTGGAAAAGTGAATGGGTGAGCAATATCATGCATCCTCTTGTAGGCTGCATAGTTTTTTAACACATAGAGAAAGAATGATGGTAAGAAACCAAGGAATAGGAGGTGATAGTGAGGGAAGTCTGGAGAGAGGGGAGAAAGAAGAAAAGAAAGAACTAGTGTTATAGGAGAGGACTTCTGATCATGAGTTTGGACAGTGAAGAGGCATACGTAGGAGATGTACAAAAGGAATGAGGGCGACCTCACAAGCCCATGGTCTGAAAGGTTAAACCCCTAAACAAAGTAAAAAATGCAAAATAATATTAAGGACAATTAAGATAAAGTTTAAGTTTGGCGGGAGAAGGTCAAAGAATGGCAGGCCCACTCTCTGCGATGGGTGATGTAGATGCAGCAGAACCTCTGACTTCCTACCTTAAACCTATCTTCTCTGATGAGGAGTGAATTTATTCTTTGGAGTGAAAAGTGTGAAATACACATTGTAAAGAGAAAAGTGGAACCCAAGCAAACCGAAAGATTACAGGAGAACTTCCGGCCACTCCAAGTGGATTTAGTTAGGCCTTCTATCCTGGCAAATTCTACGTCAAGAACCGAGGGAACTGAAGAATACAGTACTGAGTGCTGTGGATGGTCACTGAGGAATCTGAGATGACGCACAGCACGTCAGGAGACTGGAAGCTGGCAGGTGTCTTTTCAGATTCAGACAGGAGGTAGGCATGGATCTGCAAAGCACAGATTTGTGAGCCTGACTTCCATTTGGAGGAAGTTTTCTAGAATTGACTGAAGTGGATAATCTGGGGCCGCAGAAAAGAGGAAGAAGTAACCACCGGCAGCAATATGGGTTCTCGAAAGAACAAGTCACTGCCAACACCAAGTTTTTCTTAGAAATACTCATAGTTTCTAAACTAGTTTCTAGTTTATTTTCATAGTTTCTAGTAAATTTGTTGCTAATTATTTCTCCTATAAAATGGAAGTTGTGAGCTGAAAGAAGCAATTAGGCATATAAAACTCATGTGCAAAGGAGATAAATAACTAAGGTAAACATGCTAGAGATTTTTTTATGACATTTCCACTGTCCCAATAAGGCCATCATTTTAATGAGCGACTCAGGTAAATATAGAAGCTGTATTTATCAAACTTGTAGATGACATGAAGCCGAGAGGGAATCAGGATCTCAAAACACCTTGTCAGTCTAAAGAAATGAACTAACGCTAACAGGGTACAACTGAATGCAGATAAGCAGGCTGGGGTCTACGTCTTTCACTTAGATCTGCAACGCACCCCTGCCCCTGAATCCAGATAGAGCAGATTTTTGTCCTTGAGGGTGTTATATTTGGGGCTTTGACTACCACTTATTGGTTGCCTCAGCTTGTAGCAGTTGTCATAGATTTGAACAGCGAGCGCCAGCTGCAGTGTGGACAAGCCCACGGCACCAACCACTGCCCTTGGCTGCCTCTCTTTTCTTGCCCTTCTATTCTTGCGACAGTGAAACTGTTTCACACCAAATCCAAATGTTTTCTAAATTACTTTAGCTCTGTTTCTTATGCAATAATTAGAGGCAAAAGCATCACCTAGATTGGTGATTATATTTAGCTACATTAAACTGGAGAGATTATATGTTAGAGTGATATTTGGGATTTGGGAGATTCTCAATAGAAAGACTTTAACAGAGCTGTCCAAAGCCGGTGTGAGCGATAGAGGGGCTCACCACTCACGGTCCAGACAGCCACTTAGTGGAATTCGAACCCTTCACGGGGACTGGAGTGGACAACCTTTAAGGTATTTTCCAATTCAGAGCTGCTAGAATCCTATGCCCTGGCCACAAGGCACTAATTCTAAGCCTCCACTTCCCTAGTGATTTCTTTCCTCCTCCATTATTTCCCCTCCTTCCTCTTACCATTGTAGTTATCTTAGCTGTTTTCCTCCTTCTACTTTCTTTGCTATTATTGCACTATCCTCTCTGTCTTATTTATGGCACTCAAGAATTTAAATCCCAGATTCAGAAGTTGGCAGCCAAGTAGGTCCACTTGCTCTTGCACCCAACCCGGACGCTTAGCTGATTTTCAAAAACCAAAGTGAACTGTCAACGGAGTCTTAGCTGATATGAAGTTTGGAAGCCAATGAGTACAGATGATGCTTCAAAACTGCATGAAGGAGGTTTTATAGATGGATGGGAAAAGTCCCTGGGAGTGGCACCTGCATCTGAGGAGAGCCTGGTCAGAGACAGCAGCCTAGGGACTCCCTCCCCTCCCAGCGGGAGGAGTCACCAGGCCTGGAATGGGAGCGACTTGGATACATAAAGTGGTGGGGAGAACCAGGCAACACATACACACAGCTAGCAACACACCCATAGCAGTGGCGGGAGAATACCTGAGAGTGAGCGAGATACTGTCTGCACCTGGTTCTGGTGGAGGAGGAGAAGGGCCAGTGGGGCTGCAGGAGCGCACAGAGAGACTTTTTTTTTTCAAAGGGCAGCCGAGTCAACATGGACAGGGACCCCTGCAGGCAGCTGCCAGGCTAACAAGGGAGGATATCGGGTGTGATTTGCTCCCACTCAGTACAACTGGGCAGATTGATCAAAGGTGCAAAGCGAGGTGGTGTCTGGGACCCAGCGCGGTGCAGCGCTGCAGAGTGGAGAGTGCGGGCCACAGCATACTGTGAGGACAGTGGGCTGGGAACTGTGCGCCTGAGGTTATTTGAGAACAGACTGGGCCCCCTTTGCGGGGGGGGGGGACCTCCAGCAAGGGAAGGTGGAGCCCAGCCCCCACCTCCTGCAAGAGCAGGGGAAGACCTGCAAAACTGGCTCAGCAGGCCTCACAACTCTGCAGGGGGCATTTCCAAAAGAGTGAGACAGCAAGCCAAATGCCTAAAAGGGCCCATTTTGAGGGACTCACATGGGGACAAAAAACACTGCGTTCTAGGGCCTATTTCACTGTGGCCATCACAGCAGGGAGTTCAGAGAGTGTGCCGCAAAGGGCAGCAAGGTGGATTCAGGGCGCCGCCCAGCCTGGGCTGGCACACAGAGGTGCCCTCTACACCAAGCAGGAGAGAGCTGACACACTTACACAGATTGTCCCCTACCCTGTGAAACGGACAATATGTAATCAGAAACTATACATTATTGGAAATAAACTGGGAAAGACTAAAAAGGGAGGTATAGGGGCAGGAGTACCCACCCACAGTTTTCCTAGAAGATGGAACAGTACCTCGCAGGGGAGACTCAGAGGCCTCAGCCTCTCCATCGCAACAGAAGCTCCCTCTAGAGGCAGGTGAAGAAGAAACAGGTGGTGTTGCTGGAAGTTGGATGACCCACCCCAGGACCTTGAGCAGATAAAAAACCAGGGACGGATCCAGAGAGATGTCAGAAGGCAAACACGAACAGCTGAGATGAACTTCACCTCACTTTTCCTCAGAACTTGTGTTTTCCTTCTTCTTTTTTTCTTTTCACGCAGCCTTTTAATATTGGGAAATAAATATCCTCACCTTGGGGGAGGATATCATGGTTATTGCTGTAATGGTATTCCTATTTGTTCACTATTTGTTTGCACTTCAAATCCCATTGGCTACTCTCCCCCTTGTCTTACTCCATTTTGCCTTACCTCTGCCTTTGATCAGTTGAGTTAGGGATTTTTTTTTTCCTTTCTTAGCCTGGGTTCTATTCCTTCCTCTTATTAGTATTTCTGCCCCATCCTCTCAAAATCATTTTTATTTACTGTAGAGATCTCATGTTCACTTTCATCTTTTGTATAATATTCTTATCCCTTTCCACCTTTATTAATCTTTGCTCATCTGTCACTGTTGTTGGCCCTGCTGTGGTTTTTTTTGCAGTTTTGTTCCCATTGGTTCAATGCCTTTTTATTTGCTTCAAACCTCGTAGTATACTCTTCCCTTCTCGTACTCTATTTTTGCCATCACCATGCCCTGTTTCACTTACATTTTAAATTTTATTCTCTGCTTTTCTTTGCCTGGTTTCTGTTCCCTACTCTTCCTATTTCTCTCCCCTCTTCCCACTCAAAATCATTTCCCCCCTTTTAGCATCCCATATCCTCTCTTTCCTACTTTATAATATTCTAAATCTCAACTTTTATTAATCTTTGCTCAATTGTTGTTGATATTGCTGATGTGGTAGGGGGTTTTTGTTGTTGTTGGCATGGGTTCAGCATTCTGGCAATATTGCTTTGTTAACCAGCACAATATACACAATGTACAACAACATACAAGATGTGGCAGGAGGTGCGACTACCAGTCAGCCAGCTGGAGAGGGGAACCCACCAATGAATGAGCCACCAACAGGAGAGCCCACACAAACTGAATAAAGGGTGACCCTAGAGCATCCAGATCAGGAGTTCAGGGAGGCTGCACCATTAAGGCCCACAGAACTCCTGCCACAGAAGTACATCCCACAAACACAGGCAGGCAAAGCAGAGCATCCTGAGATGCAGAAATAAACAGAAAGAGCCACCTAAAATGGGGAGATAAAGAATGAACCCCCAACTGAAAAGAATGGTGGAATCCACAGAAAAAGAGCTAAATGAAATTGAGGCAAGCAATTTATCAGATTTAGAATTCAAAAAAATGGTTATAAGGATAGTCAAGGAACTCAGTGATAACTACAAGGAACTGAGTGGGAACTATGACAGCATGAAAAAGGACATAGAAACTACAAACAAGAACCAGGGAGAAATGAAGGATACAATATCTGAAATGAATAATACACCAGAAGGAATTAACAACAGGCTGGATGAAACAGAGAACCAAATCAGTGAGCCGAAAGACAAGGTAGAAAGAAATACCCAGGCAGAGCAACAAAAGGAAACCAAAAAGACTCAAAAAGAATGAGGATAGTTTAAGGGAACTTCAGGACAACATGAAATGTAACAACATTTGCATCTTAGGAATATCAGAAGGAAAAGTTGCAAATAAACAGCTTAACCCTACATCAACAAGAACTAGAGGAAAACAACAAACAAAGCCCAGAGTGAGTAGAAGGAAAGACATAATCAAGATCAGAGCAGAATTAAATGGCATAGAGACTAAAAGAACAATTCAAGGGATCAATAAATTCAGGAGATGGTTCTTTGAAAAGATAAACAAAATCAACAAATCTTTAACTAGACTCATCAAGAAAAAAAAGAGAGGGCCCAAATAATTAAGGTCAGAAACAAAAGAGGAGAAATTGCAATCGATACCAGAGAAATACAAAGGATTGTCAGAAACTATTACAAACAACTATGTGCCAAGAAGTGTGACAACCTGGATGAAATAGACAAGTTTCTAGAAACATATAATCTTCCAAAACAGAATCAAGAAGAAGCAGAAAGCCTGAATAGACAAATAACAACTAGTGAAATTGAAGCAGTAATCAAAAAACTCCCAGCACACAAAAGCCCTGGACTGGATGGCTACACAGGACAATTTTACAATACATTTAGGGAAGAGCTAACTCCTATCCTTCTCAAACTATTCCAGAAAATTCAAGAAGAGGGAAGACTCCGGAACACTTTTTATGAGACCAGCATCATCCTAATTCCAAAACCAGGTAAAGACACAACAAAGAAGGAAAACTACAGGCCAATATCTCTGGTGAACATAGATGCTAAAATCCTCAACAAAATATTGGCAAACTGGATCCAGCAATACATTAAAAAGATCATACTCCATGACCAAGTGGGATTCACCCCAGGAATGCAAGGATGGTACAATATTTGCAAATCAATAAATGTAATAAACATAAACAAAATGAAAGACAAAAATTACATGATCATATCAATAGATGCTGAAAAAGCATTTGATAAGGTACAACACCCATTTATGATAGAAACACTCAACAAAGTGGGAGTAGAGGGAGCATTCCTCAACAAAGTAAAGTCCATGTACAAGAAACCTATAGCCAAAATCATACTCAATGGACAAAAACTAAAAGCTTTATCTCAGGCACAAGACAAGGTGTCTGCTTTCACCACCTCTATTCAACACAGTATTGGAAGTTCTAGCCACAATGAACAGACAAGAAATAGAAATAAAAGTCATCCAAATTGAAAAGGAGGAAGTAAAACTGACATTGTTTGCAGGTGACATGACAGTGTACAGAGAAAACCCCATAGGCTCTACCAAAAAGCAACTCAACCTATTAAATGAATTTGGCAAAACAGCAGGATACAAAGTCAATATTCAGAAATCAAAGGCATTTTTGTACACCAACAATGAGATATCAGAAACAGAAACTAAAGGAAAAAATCCCATTTAATATAGGAATAAGAAAAATCAAGTACTTAGGAATAAACCTAACCACGGAAGTAAAAGACCAGTACTCAGAAAACTACACAACACTTTAGAAAGAAATTAAGGAAGACACAAATAAATGGAAGCATATACCATGTTCATGGACTGGGAGGATTAACATCATCATGTCCTTACTAACTAAAACAATTTATTGATTCAATGTAATACCTACCAAAATACCAATAATATATCTCACACATATAAAACAAATATTTCAAAAATTTATATGGAACTATAAATGACCCCAGATAACCTCAGCAATTTTGAGAAAGAAGAGCAAAGCAGGAAGAATCGTAATACCTGGTATCAAACTATACTAAAAGGCCACTGTAATCAAAGCAGTCTGGTACTGGCATAAGAACAAACGAAAGGATCAGTGGAACAGAATAAAGAGCTCAGAAATAAATCCATGTCTCTATGGTCAATTAATATTTGACAGAGTGGGCTGGAGCATAAAATGGAGTAAAGATAGCTCCTTCAATAAATGGTGTTGGGATGCAAAAAAAAAAAAGAAACTAGATCATCAACTTACACCATATATCAAAAAAAACTCAAGATGAATAAAAGACTGACATGTAAGTCTTGACACCATAAAAGTCGAAGAGGACAACATAGGCAGTAAAATGTCAAATATCCCACACAGCAATATTTTTGCCAACATATGTCCTAGGGCAAGGGCTATAAAGGAAAGAATAAACAAATGGTACTACCTCAAATTAAAAAGCTTCTGCATGGCTAAAGAAAAGGGAATCCTGATTCACTGTTGGTGGGAATGCAGACTGGTGCAGCCACTGTGGAAAACAGTATGGAATTTCCTCAAAAAACTAAAGATGGAACTGGGTTTGATCCAGTGATCCCATTGCTGGGATTATACCCTAAGAATCCTGAAACACCAATTCAAAAGAACCTGTGCATCCCAATGTTCATAGCAGCATTATTTACAATAGCCAAGTGCTGAAAACAGCCTAAGTGCCCATCAGTAAATGAGTGGATCAAAAAACCATGGTGCATTTACACAATTGAACACTATGCAGCATAGAGAAAGAAGGAGCTCCTACTCTTTGTGACAGCATGGATGGAGCTGGAGAGCATCATGCTAAGTGAAATAAGCCAGGCAGTGAAAGACAAATACCATATGATCTCTCCTATAAGTGGGACCTAGTGAACAAAGCAAAAAAATGAGCAAAATGGAACCAGAGACATGGAAATAAGGAACAAACTGACAGTGATCAAAGGGATGGGGGAGAGGGATAACAGGGGAGAGAAGGGGAAGAGTCTAGTCAAGGAACATGTATAAAGGACCCATGGACATGGACAGCAGGGTGGGGACTGCCTAAGGGAGCTGCGGGGAGGGTGGGACAGTGTAGAACAGCGGAGAAAATTGGGACAACTATAACTGAACAACAACAACAAAAAGAATCTAAATCCTTATTTTGATTAATTCTCATTTTTGCTCTTGAGACAGAGAAAAGAGGCACCCTGAAATAAGGAAATAGGAAGAGACCAGGTGAAAACAAAAATAATTGGGTAAAAACTAATAATTGTAAGAATAGATCAGTAATATTTAATAAAATAAGATTTTTAAACAACTAAGAATAGCCAAAGTACCTACAATTATTTATGCATGACATGAAACTTGCTATTACATGTGAAAATCTGAAATGACATAATATCAGACTTTAGATAAATAGTGCTTGCTCACCAGATAGAACCAAAGGAATAATTTTAGCTCATTTTCCTAGGTTGTATTCTTTTGTTAACTGCTAAATGTCCCAGAGCTGAAATCTCTTCACTATAAAACAGATTTTAAAATATGTATGTTTTATATCATAGTTGATTATTCTACTTATGTGAATGTTACTACAACAGATATATCTGAAGAAAGAAACAACCAAAGAACTACTCACATCTCACACTTCATTTATTAAAATTCTATGATGAGTAGCAAACTCATCATATAGTTCAGAAAGCCAATCACTTTACATTAAAAACTTCAAACTGAAATACCACTAGGAAAGGACACTCACCTTGGCTTTATTCTTGATGATGGACCCAGGTAATTTGTCATAATGGAGATGAGTTGCCAAAATCCTTGGTGATGGGAACTGTTTCATTCTCTTAAAAATATATACAATAAGTTGAAAGCATGTGTGTGAGTGTCTATGTGTTTATAGTAAATTACTCCTAAGTTTAGTATATGAATGGTAGTGGTTTTGTTTTGGGTTTTTTTTTTTTAGATTTTATTTATTTTTAGAGAGAGGGGAAGAGAGGAAGAAAAGAGAGGGAAAGAAACATCAATGAGTGGTTGCCTTTCACACCCCTACCTCCACTGCAGACCTGGCCTGCAGCCCAGGCACGTGCCCTGACTAGGAATCAAACCAGTGACCCTTTGGTTTGCAAGCCAGCACTTAATCCACTGAGCCACACCAACCAGGGCTGAATGGTAGCTTTAAGCATTACTATTGCTGTGTCTTCTCCTCTTCCTCCTCAAATTTTTTAATTTCTATTTCCTTTGTGGGTATGAGGAATGGAGAATCATAAATGAATAGTTAGAATTTTCTTTTTGAACTTCCTTGTTGGATACTGCTTATCATTTTTTGGTCATTTAAAAAAAATTTACCTTTTCCCACAATCATACCAAATATTTTGTTCAAGAAAGCTCATAATGTGCAATCTACCTTTTCAATTAATTTGGATCTCTTCTACATTCAAGGTCTTTAACAAAAATATTCAAGTCTTTTCATAGCTCCTTTGAATCCGTTTTAAACATCTAGATCTATTTCATTTTACAAACAAAACTCCATTCAATTAAATAGTCCAAAAGAACCTGAACATGCAGTCACTTAAATATCTGAGAAATAATTTATGAGAGAAATTCTTGTCAGTAGAAGGACTCAGTGATTGATTCTTTTTCTTTTTTTATTTTTTTGTAAGATACTTCTACTGATGATTTTACTTATTTTTTTATTTTATTTTTCAATTGCAGTTTACATTTAATACTACTTTGTATTCATTTCAGGTGTACAGCACAGTGGGTAGACGATTATGTCCTTTACAAAATGATCTACCGAGAATTTAAAAAATGAGTTGTAACCTGTTTAATCTGCCAGGGTTCAGGGTTTTATCTTGATATCGGATCTTTATTATATGTTATATGGCGGGAAGGGGGAACGTATCAAATATTCATTTCCATGCTTGTAGGCTAGGTTACTCACTGCTTGGTCATATAATTTCAAGTGATAAAATGATATTCTGATATTTATAGTCAATTGCTTTGTAAAAACGTAGTGGAGATTTCAACTTAAGCAAGGAGGCAAAAAATGAGGTTTTAAAAATTAAAACAATTTAAATCAATGATATGGGTCCAATTGGTGATTAGAAGTCATACCACTTAGTTTACATAAAATTGCACTTTTTAGATTTGGATGTACTTCTATATTCATTCACAGTAATCCTCTCAGGTAGACATGGTAACCCCCATTTTAGAGATTAACAATAGCTTTGAGGTTTTAAGCCCTTTGTGAAAAATCACACAGGTGGTAATTTTCAGATTAAGTGATAGAGTCCTTTTTCCACAAACTGCATGGCCAAAAACCACACAAAGACATATGAGAAACAGTAAAGTTCCTAAAAGGATTAGAAAAATATCCAAGGGGAAATGAGAGTTAATTGTAACAAAACTAGATAAACATATACTGTAAGCAATGTAAAGACTAGATATAGCTACATCTCATTTAAGAAAATACATGTACTTTAGAAAAGTTTTTTGGAAAGTGAACTTTTATGTAGAGTTCTTCCTCTCACTTCCATTTTAAAGCAAAAGGTATATTGCATAGAAAAGTATCTGTGTTGTTAGGTATGATGAAATTACAAAAATACAAAAAATGTTTTTAAAACGACCTGGAGAAAAAAATATAGACACTTCTGATAAACTGCAGATATTCCAAACCCAAATACTGTGCTGAGTTAACACATTTTCCAGGAACCCTGGAACTGCAACCTTTGTCTCACTCACCTTACAGAGCATTTTAATGTTAATTTAGACGATTTTAAAGTCTTCCTTTTTACTAAAGCTTTCTTTCTCTCTTTCTCTTTCTTCCCCCTCTCTTTCTTTCTTTCTTTCTTTCTTTCTTTCTTTCTTTCTTTCTTTCTTTCTTTCTTTTTTTCTTTCTCTCTTTCTCTCTTTCTCTTTTTTTCTTCTTTTGTTTTAAATAAGCTGGCTATACTGTGTAGAGGTTAAGAACTCAAATCAGGAAACTTGGGTTCAAATCTTAGCCCTGCCTTTTATACCCCCCATGACCTTGGGCAAGTCTCTAACAGTTTTCCCTTTGTAAAATGGTGATAAGATTATTCCGTAATAAAATGAAACAATCCCTGAAAAGTGTTGGGGATAGGATAAGCACACAATTAGTTGCAATAATTATTAGTATTATACTTTCTGAACACAAAACTCAAAGATACCCAAACCAGAAGAAATCTCTCTTTAATAATTTGCTATAAATTTAAAGGCTATTTTGTACTAACCTGATATTTTTCTGGGTTCCCACATTCAAGAACTGGGAATTCTGGATATTCATACTTTTTTTTAGAATCAGCAAATATTAACTCACTAATAATGTGAAGAATCCAATTTGAACCTATAAGAAAAATCAGGCATACAAAGCTCATTAAGGAGTCTTGATATAGTAAAGGCATGTTACTTTAGCAAATGCATCATAAAAATTAAAGTCTGCCACCATTTCCTGATGTGTGCAGTTGGCTCTTCTATGTCTGAAGTAACCCGGGCTGTGCAAAGAAACAAAGGTTTGTGGAAAACACTATTTACTCACATTAATATAAATTAAACTTATTTCTCAGATTTCTCCTTTAACAAGAGATAGTACTTCTTTCTGAATCTAGAATATGTTCTTTAAAGAAAAATGTTATGCTGTGGCAATAACTGTTCAATGTACATCACATGTTATTTTACATTAATGAATATTTTCAATAGGAGGATATAACTTTGCTCTTATAAAAACCCAGCATCAGTGAAGGGAAAGCGAAATATTAAATGAAGTTGGCTTTAGTAAACACTTAGAGATAAAGTAATGGTTTAAAAAATCAAAAGTTGATGGTATGAAATTGGATAATTTATATTCTTAATATTTTACCCTCCATCGATGATCAATGATTGTAAGACTGGTTTGAGAAACTGGAGGGCTGGTGTTTTATCCTGAAAAAGTAACTGATTACATGGAAATCATATAAATTATGGGTGTAGCTGTGCTTTTTCTTCAGTGCAAAATCAAGATGAAAAATCGCTACTACTCTCAGTGCTCCATGGCAACTGGACCCCCCTGCGTCCTGTTTCTGTTCGCCAGCCCCTCCGAGCATCTGTCTCCTCCCACCCCGGCCCGGCCCAGCGCAGCCGCCTCGGCCCCGTCACACAGGCGTCCTTCCTCAGACCCCGGTCTGTGAAGGGTCTGTGAATCTAGCAGGTGTAGTTGGTGACTCTACAACCTGCAGTCTCACCCACCTTGGCCATCCTCCTCACCAGCTCCTGGCTAGCTTCCAGCAGAGATGAACTAACTGCCTTCCTGCCCGTTTTGCCTTGCACCCTGCCCAACCTACTCACTACGTAAAAGTGGCCTTGTAGAAAGAGTTATTTACCGCACTTTGGGTAAGATGCGAGTACTATGTCATCGCTTCGGGCTTCAAAGGCATCCAAGGCTTGGAACGTTTCTGAGGTGCACATAGTGACTGGGTAAGGAATCCCCTGGTAGGTGAAAAGCAAGCGAGAAAGTGCAGTTTCTTTGGATTTTTCCAGAGCTTCATCAATGTAGTCAATAAACTTGGACTTATCAGTGGCCATGCTGGCTCCCTGCTAATGAACCTGCTCTGTAGGAGCAGTGGTAGCTTTTAATAGAGCTTCTCAGGAGGTGGAATAAAGTGCTCCTCCCGTTCAGATGAGGAGGAAGTCACTTAATTCCCATGCAACCCCCCACCCCCAGCCTTTGTGAATACCCACCTCTAACAAAACACAAACCACAGGTGCAAAACAGGCTGAGGATCAGGGAATATTACCCCAAGGGTAGATTATATTACCACTATAGGCAACCCTCCCTGTGAAAGTAAGAATGGAATCTGTTAATAGACAATAATAGATATTAAATATGGAACAAATAGTTATTTGATTGAATCAGGCATACAATATTCGTATTTGCAAAAAGCAATTCATGGAATGAAACCTCAGGTGTCTTCAGTTGATAGCTTTGCACACTCATCCTTCATGGCGTGACAAGACAGTAATGGGGTGGAAGAGAGTCCATGATTTGGGGGCAATTCTAGACACCAGGCTCCAATTTGTCATTTACTGGCTCAGTAAATTTAGAAATCTGAAGACCTGAGTTCGAATCTTGACTCTACCATTTGCTAGTTGTGTTATTCTGAGCTCATAATACACATGCAAGGACCAAGTGAAATGGGGCTAATGACAGCTGCTCCTCCTGACCTATTTAACAGTAGACTTGTGTGGTTCATAGAAGGGAGATGTTTTATCAAGGGGAATGAATGCACTGGTACTGCTGTGCTCCGAGCTCCTTCCCAGCCGGTCAAAATTTCTAGAGTGAGAAGCTCACTCTCTGCTATCCAGCTTTTCCCCAGCAGTCTCTTTTCCTTTCAGGGGTGTCCAACCTTTTGGCATCTCTGGACCACACTGGCAGAAGAGTTGTCTTGGGCCACACATTAAATACAAAAACACTGAGAAAAACTAATGAGCAAATAAATAAATAAATAAATAATACATATTTTAAGTAAATTTACGATTTTGTGTTGAGCCACATTCATAGCCATCCTGGGCCACAGGCGGCCCATAGGCCGCATGGTGGATACCTCTGAAAGTTTAGATGAATTGAACTGTAGTCTTACCTCCTTTGCAGCTTGGTACGGCCCTGGGACGAGTGGGAGTTGAGCAGAGATAATGCATGCAATTCCTTGGCCATGTCCTTAACACAGGAAGTTGATTGTTCTCTAATTCTTCTCTTTCCCCTTTCTCACATCTGCAGGACAGACAGATGCTAGCCAGCCAGATTTGCAAATTCAGAGAAAAACAGCCTTCCAGGGGGCGATAGACCAAGATAGAAGAAACTTGGCTCACTGGGCAACCTGATGAAATAAAGCCACTCTGCAAATAAACTACCTCCTTCTCAACAGTATTTGAAAGAACACAATCGTCTACCATGTAGGACCCACTGAATTTTTAGTGTCTTTGTTACAGTAATTTAGCCTATATCCTAATTACATTTTCTGGGTCAAAATGTACTCTTTGTCCTCTTCTTAACTCAAGTGTCTTTGAACATACCCTTGTATGTTGAGTTTTCTTCTTTCTCTACCATTCTCTTCTCCACATCATTCTTCTTATTCTTCTTCCAGTTTTATCCCCTCTAACTCCAGGAACATATATTTTTTAAAAGCTATATTTACTTTTCTCTAACTAATGCTTAAAACTTAAGAAATTAATTCCTAGGCTAAAAAGAAGTTAACTCCTAGTTATGCATAGTTACTTAGCTGCTATAGCTACTCATGTATCGGTTAAAATAACAGCTAATATCATTTAATAATAGCTTACAAAAATGGATCACTTGTATGTACCAGACACCCTGCCAGGCTGGTAAGATTACATAGATGATCGAATGTAACTTCATATTCATAACAGCCCTATGAATGAAACCAGTGTTACTAGTGTTACCATTGCCCAGATAGGTTCATTGGAGTTTTATGGAGCTGAGTCGAGTTAGCTATTGAAGGAGCTGGGCTTGGAAGGCAGGCTGAGTTTCCTGGGGAAAAGGCAATTGCAGCAAGATCCTTCTTAGAGGTCCCAGGTTTAGTAGCACCACTGCATTCTTGGCACTTCTTCATCTGCTACAAGAAACAAGGCCACGGGACTTTTCCAGGAAAAACAAAACAGAAAAACAACTCTTACCTTCTGAGGAGAGACATTTTTTTGTGACCCCAAGGGAAAGAAATTTCCTGGATTCTAGAACACTTTATTTAATAATAGCATTTTGAGAAATCACTGTGTCAAATGTACACAGATTGTAAGATGCATTCCAATTCCAGAAATGGAAATATATACATCATGGAATTGAGGAAACGTTATATTGTCACTGAAAGTATCTTACTGGGGCATTGGTGGATGTGGGAGGGCAACTTTTAATCTCCATTTTGAGAAGAAAGGAATAAGTATCTGGGTTTTGTTAAAGTTGTGACTATTTTATTATTATTATTATTATTATTATTATTATTATTCTATTATTTTAGAGAGAGGGGGAAGGGAGGGAGAAAGAGAGGGAGAGAAACATTGATGTGAGAGAGAAATATTGATAGGTTGCCTTTCATACATGCCCCGATCGGGAACCGAACCCACAACCCAGGCATGTGCCCTGACCAGGAATCAAACCAGTGACTTTGCTCTTTGCAGGATGATGTCCAACCAACCGAGTCACACTGATCAGTGCATGATTTTTTTTTAAGATTGTAAAAAGGTACAATTAGAATGTGTGAGTGTCTAACTATTTTTCAATTTTGATGCAGCACTTCCCCTTCGAGGTCTTGTTACCTTACATAATAAGAAGATGCTATTCACTGGAGGCGGGAGGGTTGTGTATTTCAGAATTTCCTTGCCCCCAAAGAAAGTGGGGTAGGACTGGTCTCTCTGCCAAGCTGCTTAGTGGGATTGTACCTTCCATTATAAAGAGTCTTTTCCTGGGGAAGGTAGAATTTAAGACATTAATCCAAACGTTGTTATTGTCCTTTCTCTGGCATTTAGTGGGTAAAACATTAAAAAAGACAGCGTGACTGGATCCTGTTCTGACACTAATGCCTGTAATTATAGGAGGATTCAGGGGCTGTTTTGAATTGTAATATGAGCTCTAATTCTTGTTTGTCTCCCTCAGCTCAGGGCAACCTGTCAACCTTGTAATTCCATATACTCAGCTCTAATGGTCTGGGATGCACGAGGGGAGGAAACAGCCACATGAATGATAGCGAAACACCTAGACTGCACGACGCATTTGCACTGGTGTGCAGTTGAGTGCAGGTGGGCCTCATGCTCTGTGAAATCCCAGCTTGCTGTTCAGCTCCTGGGTCCATTCAGATCCGGGGTAAGTGGCGGTGGACCTCTCAGACAGCGCTGGCCTGGCTTGGCTCATGGCCTTGGTGGCAACAGCATAGGAGGCTTATTTAAAGCATTTTCTTCGGGATTAAAAAGATCATTCCTACTTACCTCCTTTCTGTTATTTTCTAGGCTATCAACTAAGAAAGAGAGAGAGAGAGAATAGGTGAAGAAAAGGAAAAAAAAGGTCTAGGGAGATTGAAATCAAGTCTGATTAGTAAACCGGGAATCAAGTAGCACGTGGCTCCGGTGTGCCCACTGGCCCAAGGTGGGTTTTTAGGGGCAGGGAAACGGGCCCCTTCGATTCTGTCTTCCTGTCTGTGTAGCAGGGTACCCTTTCATAGACTTGTGCTTTCTGCCTCTGTTTTAGCAAAGGAAGTTCAGGACTGAAATTTACCTTGGACTCCTGTAGGGAGGGAGAAGGGTGTATCCTCTTTGTAGATAGGGCGTTTATTAAACTGGCTCCCCTCTTCAGAAGTTGAATACCAGGAAGGCAGGATGGAGTCCAGGACATAGTGGATGCTGGACACATTCAGGATCTAAGGTCGTTTGTCTAGTAACACGTTGGCCTTCTGGATTGAAGGCAATGGAGAACCCTTCCACTCCAGTGCTGGCAGCTGGCTGCACAAGGCTCCTGTCCCCACTTCCCTGCCTTGGGGACAGTGTCCCTAGCAGCTGTAATGCTCCACTTCTCTTTGTGTCCTGTGGCCATCTAAGGGAAACCTGGGCCATTCCAAGATCCTGGGCTCTCTTGTCTGTAGGTGCCATTTGGCACCCAGCGTCAATGGGTCATCTACACAAATCTAGACTAATCTCTGCAGCTTCATGTCAGGTAATTAAATGAGCTTTACCTTGGGGATCCCAGCCAAGTTAGCTAGCTGCTCTCTCTCCAAGCTGACAGTGAGAGAATGGACAGCAAACATCCTAGGTAGTGTTAACGTGGGGTCACTGCGGCCCTTGCACCTGTGACCACTACAGAAGACTGGGACTTAGGCCAGCTTCTGCGCCTGGGGTGTGATGCAGTAAGGAGAATTTCCTGTTGACCATCTGCTTCCCTCTGCCAGAGTTAGCAAATCAGGATCTGACTGGGAAAGCACAGCCCTCAAAGGACACTTTTGGGAAGGGTACTGGAGACTTGGAGGAGGATCGACTAGACTTCCCAATGGAGGAGCATGAGCATTTGCCTCTGGGGTTGGAGCTGGAGCAGGTTAGTTACCCCTCACCCCAATTATGTGCAGGCATAGCCCTCTTACCTGCTACTTGTGCGTTTCTCCACTCGACACTTGTGAGAATCGGTTGCACTTTGAAAATCTGCTGCCAGTCTCTCCCACCTGCCCCCCAAACCCTCTGCCCTCTACCCCAATTCACTGATCAAAGATTGAATCAACTTGACCGGAGTCTCCACTAGAGTCTAAACATTTCCGGCCCTAAACCTTGTGGCCAAATGATCCTTACCTCAAAACATGTTTGTGAAATCTATAGTGAGGTCCAGGATGTGTAAGAAATGAACATGAGGATGTCAAGTTTTGTGTGATACTGGGAAACTCCCACTCCAATTAAAAACCTCCCTTAAGTTACTTTATATACATGCCCCAGTGGAAGTGACTGAGTTTCTGTGGAATCATTTCCATCCTTGTTATCAAGTTGTTTTTTTTCTTCAGTCTGAACCATTTCAAAGACCTTTTCATCTTGTTTTGTCATCCTGGTCCCTTTAATGCCAATGCCCTGGCATTTCACACTGAAGCAGGGCCTGGCATCGAGTAATATCATGTCACTTAAATATACAATATATATTTTAAACAAATTGTTGAAGTGATAGCAGTTGCTTTTAAAATGAGAAATATTTATTGTGGGTGAATCTCTGAATGGGAATGAATATCTAAAGACTGAAGATGTCCTGGCTGTGGAGGAGAGGGGAACCTCAGCAGAACAGGCGATGACTCACAGTTCTGAAAAAGTTTGAGAAAAATGGGTTATAGCAGCAAAAACAATAACAGACACAATAAAAAGAGATCTTATGAGGAAAGCTTGAGAGAAAGTCAGATACATAATATTAATAGAATGGAGGGTCAGGCCAGACGCAGTTTCGATAGAGCAAACGGGGGAGGTCAAAAGACTGTGCATACCCAAACGTGAAGAGGTCACGAGAAAAGTTGACGCCACGGAGAGATTGGGGCTCTGGGTCTGTGTAGACCTGAGTGATCTTGATTAATAATGACATTATTATCTTTAAATGAATGTGGTTTACGTATCCACATTTCCCACTACTTATGATAGTTTAGTTGCGCAAATGAACGACATGTGGGGGTTGGATAGGAAAACTGGGGGCATCGAGGAGTGCTTCTCAGGGGCACTTCCTTTCCTTGGCAACTGACAAAACCGGCTCCAGCCATTACCCCTTCTCTCACAGCTCACGGATCTCTCTGGTCTGAAGCAAGGCCCTAATCACTGAGCTTTTCATTAGTTATTTGCAGGCATGGCATGCTGTCCGCTAGATTACACTGTCAGTGAAGGCAGATCTGTGTCTATTTGGGGTAGTTCAGGCTTTCTTTTGCACCTGGTGCCTTAATAGACCTTTATATTCCTTTTCTCCTCCTCCCCTTCCCCCTCTTCCTCCTCCTACCTGGTGGGCATTAGAGGCAGTGCTTCTCAAATTTTAATTTGCAGTAGGGATCTGGCTAAAATGTAGATTTTGATCCAGTAGATCTGCATTTCTAACAAGCTCCCAGGTGAAGCCAATATGCTGATTGATTCTTGGACACTATCGGACTTTGGGTTGAAGGGTGCAGGACAACGAGCACAGGCTTTGGAGTTGGGGTCCTTGGTTAAAATATGAATTGTCTCTTATTGTGTGATTGTGGGCAGGGTAAGCCTTTCCCCTTCTCTGTAAATGAGATATTCAAAGCATAGAGTTACTTTGAGGATTCAATAAAATAATGTATGTAGTCCGCAGTCAGAACAGGCTCCTAGCAAGAGTGCAATAAAAAATTAAGGTAGGGGCGGGGCCAACGCTGGGAGGGGCGGGGCTCTACCGAGCCTCTCTCAAGCGCAGACCTGCGTGTGCGCGATCCGGGAGAGACAGCGGCGCGGGGCTCTGGTTTGCAGGTGTGACTTGGGCTACCCGGAGCCGGGAGTGCGGCAGGTTTTGGTGGGACCTCTCTAGAGTTTTGGGGCCGCGCTGAGGACACTCGGGTGTCACTGTCTCCAGTCCGCTGGAGCGAGTGCGGGACCAGCCCGAGTGTTTCCGGGTCGCTCGGCCACCTTGGCCGCGCGGCCGGGGAGGCGCAGGCGGGGCTGGAACTTCCTGGGGCCCTGGGCCCTTGAGGGTCTGTGGCTGCCACGGTGCACTGGGCAGCATCGAGTGCTACGGTGCACCGGGTGACGGTGGGAGCAGGGCCCCTCGGTGATGCGGGGCGGCGTGGGGCCGAGGATCGTGGGTAGCCGGCCTGAGGGCCGGCGCCTCGCAGGTTGCTTGGTTCTTGACGGTGGGAACCTGAAAAAAACGGCTCCTGTTAATTGAACCCAGAGACGTAGCTGAGAAACCTTGTTCTGCAACATCTAATCTGTGAGAGACCTTGCTGTGTGAAATCATGTTGCCTAGAGACACACGGAGTCGATCTGATTTCAAGCTTTGGTGCACGGGTTGAGGGGTTTCGGATGCAACACTGACCATTGTCTTAGCTTGTGTGCCTCTAGTGGCCTCTCGGCCAGTGAGATGTTAACCCCGTGGCGCACGGCCGGCCCTGCTTTTCTGCGAGCCCGTCAGAGGGCGGCTGGGTTTTAAACTTCACCTAAGTTCCACCCTTCTCCAAAATCTCGTCTACTTTTGCTGCTCCTCTGCCAGTTAGTAACCCAGCTCTGTTGTGGACAGTGTGCCTTTGTCGGTCTTTGCAAATGGGCCTTATCAGTCGTTATAAACACCTCTCCTGAGCTGAGGGACTTGGAATGTAAAATGTGTATACACGTGTGTGGGAGAGACACACACATTTTCAAGAATGGTAAATGTTTTATTTTACAGTGTTACTTGGATTGTACTGCTTGAATCCTTAACCTCACCCTCTCCAACAAAACAAAACAAAGTTTTACTTGGATTCCTTACACTGTGGGTCCAGCTATAGACAGGCCTTGTTTTGTTCTTTTCACCCCTTGAACATTAAAATAACTCCAGGAGAGCTCCCTGTACTCATCAGGATTTATTCCCCATCAGTAATATCCAGCATTGTAGTAAACAGCAAAACAACTCTCCCCACCCACTCACTTGCCTAATGGTTGTAGGTTCTCCTCCTCCTCCGCCTCCTTTTTTTTTTTTTTTAACTTCCTCTACTTCTTTTCTTTTAGGTAAGAATAATAAAGTTTTAATCTTTTAGTCCCCAGGGTGATCACATTATCAAAATGAGAGAAGGGAATCTGTGGAGCAGGGACACCTGATAACGATTTTAGTAGGATAATCCTACAAAGGTAGGGTGTTGAGTTACCCCCACCCTTGGGCATTGTGAGAAGGAGTCAGAAGTAAATGCTTGATGGTGAGCAGAGCTGGGACTGCTGAGTATGAGTGAATACACCATCTGCACAAGGGACAGAGAACAATGTGACAAAGAGCATGCATAGGATAATATCAAATACTGAGATTCAAAACTATAGTTCATTTGTTGTTCTTGACTTTAGGGTTATAAGGAGGCCGAGTAAAAACTTGGGTTTATGTTCACATATGCAGTAAGAGTCATATATGCTGTTTCCTTGTTATACAGCTCTTTAACTTGCTTAACTTTTACGTTAGAGAAAGAATAAAGACTCAAATCCTCTCTTTTGATTAACTTTTCTTTTAATTACAGGAAGAGAATCAAGATCTAAAATCTAGTCTTGCCACTTACGGGGTGATGTAGGTCAGTTTTCTTCCTCATTTGGTCCTGTGGCCTCCCGTGTAAATGTTAATTGGAGTTACCTGCTAAAGGGCAAATTATTGGGACACCAACCCTGTAGTTGCTAAATCAGAATCTAGGGATTGGGGAATTGCAGGTTGAGACCCAGGAATGTGCATTTTAACGAGCTTTTAGGTGATGTAGTGAGCTGAAAATACTGTTAGAATAGTAGCTGTTCAGGAACAAGAACCTGTTATTGCTCAGCTTTGCATAAAATGCCTGGATGGTGGCACAGAGTTCAAGATATGCTGTATAAATAAATGAAAAGCTCCAGCTATAAACATGTACAACCACTTACAGAATAACTTTACTTTTGTAGGGTATTTTACAAGCTTTCATATACCATTCCCATTACATCATACCTTGATTCCTAGTTCAGCTAAAGAATTATTTACTCTATTTCCCACCATTTTATATACTTAGACAGTTTTAAAATCATAATTCCATAAATTGTCAGTTGTTTTTACAATGCTTTCCAGTCTCCTCTCTGCTCTGTCCAATCACATCTTTGGTTCATTGCGCCCTGAGGGCAGCGACTTTCAACACTTTTCATCTCACAAAACACATAAACTAATTATTAAAATTCCGCGGCACACCACAAGATATATTGTTGCCAATCTGACTTAAAAAAAGGTATATTTATAGGTATAATTTTTATTCATTCATACCAGCTGGTTACTGTGTTGGCTGTTGTCATTTCTTTATGGGACAATTTTAGGGAAAAGAGGTCAGTGCCCCTGACTAAATAGTTGGTTATCACACCTTAAACTTTCTTGCAGCACAGTGGTTGAACATTGCTGCCCTTGGGCACGGAGATCGAAAACTAAGAACATGGGGCGTCTCTAATACAAATAAGTAATCAGTAACATTGGGGGTTTTCCCTATACAGCCAACCACTCAAACTGTAGGAATTAATTGGAGTAATTTTTATAGAAGCGGTACTACGTCTGAACATGCTCACGTACGTTTACATGTATTTGTTTTTAAACTTAGGATGGCTCGCACTTTGGAACCACTGGCAAGGAAGATCTTTAAAGGAGTTTTAGTGGTGGAACTTTTCGGCGTTTTTGGAGCATATGCTTTATTTAAAAAGATGGATACAAGCCAAGGTAATCATAGACCAGAAGTTATTTTGTGGGGGGTATGCAGTTGGCTAATACATTTTTTGTGCTAAATGACGTTTTTAGAGAAACTGCTTCAGATTCAGCATTATTAGACATTTTTATGGCCACAAGGGGAAGCTAGGTATTGTTATTCTTAATTTCCTCTTTAAAATTAATGTTTGTAGACTAAAGATTTCCCACGTCCCTTAAGTCTTACTAGTGGAGGGCAAAGAGTGGTGTCCTTAGCCAGGCTTCTTTTGGGAGCACAGACAGGGAGCAAATGCATTTCATCGTTTGGCAGACTGAGTAGTGGAGTTGAATTGTCAAAATCATCAGTTTCTTAGGTTCAGTGAGTTCTGTCTGCATCAGTACTGGGTGCTGAAAACCCTTTCCAGGCATAGCCAGTGGCACTGGCTATCACTAAAAGTGCTTGGACATTTTGTGGGGCTAAATTTTATATGAGCTCAAACATTTTTAATTAGGAAGTGCTGCTTTCTCTTCCACCAAAGCAGCCCTGAGCGGTGGCCAACTCTGAAAGGTGTCATTTATTTCTTCAAAGTGCTTCACTGGAACACCAGTGTTCCATGATAACACTGGGTATTCACAAAGCCTCCACACTTTTAAAATGTAAGGATATAAAGGAAAACACGCAAAACAGTACTTAAAAGCAAAATGAAGTTTAAAATCAACTTTAAAAACTGGGAAGTCTTATTTCTAAATCCAAAACAAGGTAAAGTTGCATCCATAAAAATAATTCATAGTTACATAAGGGCATTGCACATTAAAAAATTACTTTTAAGTATTTCTAAATAACTTACATTGAATATACAGGCTAAAATTTTTCAGAGTTACAAAATAACTCCAGATGGCTATACATAAGGCAAGTACAATTTAGACTCAGGATATAGTTCCTGGATTAAGAGAAGTAATGACTAAGAAAAATTTCTAATCTGTAGAATTCCTATTTTGTAGACCCTAAGGCTAGCACTATGAGTTAATACAATGAATTTCTAATCATGTCTAATTAAAAAATATTTTTCATCAGATTTCAGGCAAACAATGAGCAAGAAATTTCCCTCCATCTTAGAAGGTATGTTTCAGGCAATTCATTCATCCTGTAGGTATTTATCTAAACTAAGTAGTAACTTTCTTTATGATCAATTAAGAGCTAAATGACTTTATTGTGTGATGTCAGTTTCCAAAAGGAGAAAGATACTCTTCATCCCCATTTTAGCCCCTTCTGAGAACACAGAGTAAGTTCTCACCAAGAGTAACCAAAACAAGAGCAGTTAGCTCATGGGCTGGATATCTGTGGTGGTGATGGAATCAAACCACAGCTTAATATTATGTAATTAGCACAGTATTTGCCTAATAGTGTCCATTACAAGGATTACTACAGGCGGTTCTACATGAAATATGTAGCAAGAAAGAAAATAAGCTTGATGTTTCTCAATATTGTTTAATTTTAACATTTTTACATGATTTAATAAATGTCGACTATTTTTATTTATAGTTTATTACAAATCCATTGAATATTCTGGAATGTATGGAATCAGAGAGCAAGATGAAGAAAAATGGTTGAACAACAAAAGTTAGGAGTAAGTAGAATTTTATAATTTATTTAGAGAACACTCCTTTTCTTTGCTTTTTAATTTTTTGCATAGTTTTCGGTCTTCTCTTTTTGAAATTCTTCTTTTTCTTGATGATACTTTTCACATCTCTGTCGTGTAGCCAGTCATCGCGTTCAGCCTCCCATCTAAGCTGTTTGACACCTTTGGGGGGGAGGGGGAGAAGGAAGATGAACACACCACACTGCAGTCTCTTGGGAGGCCCCGCAGAACCACCTGCCGAGTAACAGGAACCTCTGGTCTGCCTGGGGCCTACAGCTGTTTCCCACCCACTATGCAAATCTGCTATTTTCCTTCCACATTTAATATCAAAGATTACCGTTTTATAAATAAACGACTAGGGTAGGAAAGGAACAAATGCTCTGAAGATTTTATTTCCCCTGAACACTTTTACTAGCAAAAAGAACAAAAGCTAGTAACTATCAGTATCAGAAGAAATCAAAATGTCTATAAAGCATTTATAAACTCACTTAGCCAACTCATACTATATAATCTTCAGAGGTTCTAAGTATGGCTATTAAAAAAACCTCCACAAAAAGTTCAAGCTACTTACTTGCATTATCTTTGTTGGCCATGGCATTCACGCCAATGCTGTCAAACTTGGACCCCATATTTTCATCCAATAGGTGGCCAAACTTAAAAAAAAAGCGGGGGGAGGAGATACACTTATTAGAAAACTTAAAACAATGTCGAATAGCTAACTTCTTAAAATAGTATATTAGCCTTACCTCTTCAGCAGATACAAATAGGTTGGAGTCACTGAGATTTCTTTTCTTTTTTTTCCTGGGTCCTAAAAAGTATAAGCCTAGATTGTTAAATTGTAAATCCAATGACTTTTGAAAAATATAAATCTTTCAATACGGTTTTGTTAAAAAAAATTATATTTGGGCTAAAATACACAATTGCAATTATCTTCTAGCACCATTAGGTAGCTGGCACTTAAAGACAGAAATATATTTAAGAGTTAGTATACACTATTTTTTAAAAAGGTTGTATCCTAACAGAACGATTCATATGACTTTTATGTCTTCTTGCCTTTCAGGTTTGGCCAGTGATCAAGGTTTACCTTATTTCATAGTATCAGGCAAGATTAAAATTCCAGAACCAATATGGATGGATTTTGGAGTATTTAAGGCAAAATGTAAATTCTAATTAATCCAAAGGTTTTATTCTTTGGACTATTAAGAAATTATTGAAGGTATGTTTATTATATTATAAATAAAGTTTTGTTTATACTATTCAAAATAAAGTGGTTTTCTTTTAAAAATACCTCATGTTATCATTCTGAATATATAAACTTTTCAAAATAGATGAAATAGTAAAACATCTATTTTTAATACTTACTAAATTCTAATTCACACATTTAAAATCCATCTATCTAAAATACATTAACTAGAGAAACTTTTTTACTCATTTCCTGAAACAGTATTATGCAAACTCTTTGCACCTTTGATGTCAATGTCGCTGGCACTACTGGAATCATCATTACTTATTCATATATTTTTAAAAGATTTTATTTGTTTATTTTTAGAGAGTGGGGAAGGGAGGGAGAAGGAGAGAAACATCAATGTGTGGTTGCCTCTCACATACCCACTACTGGGGACCTGGCCTGCAACCCAGGCATGTGCCCTGACTGGGAATTGAACCAGCGACACTTTGGTTCACAGGCCGGTGCTCAATCCACTGAGTCACACCAGCCAGGGCTTGACTTAGTTTTCTAGCTCATTAACAATCTGTAAGTTTGTGATTTTGTCTGATTTATTTTCTGAATTATGGTTAGAAGGATAACATCTTCAAGTAAGATTTTTCAGGAAAGTTTCTTAAGAGCTAAAATTTTCCAGAGCCTGGAATCACTTAAAAACAACCAACCAAACAAACAGCTGTATTTAGGAATAAAATGTCATAAAATCCAGTTGTTTAAGTGTATAATTCAGTATGTTTCAGTAAATTTACAGAGTTGTTCAGCTACAATTTTAGAATATTTCCATCAACTCCAAAAGATCCATAATGCCCATTTGTAGTCAGTCACATGACTGCACCCACAAAGGCCTTGCTTTTTCTGGCTATTTTACATAAGTGGAATCATACGTGGTTTTCCATATCTGGTTTCTCTCACTGCATGTAACAATTCTCAGGCTCACCCACATTACAGCATTATCAGCACTTCTCTCCACTTTACTGCTGTGTAATGTCCCACTACAAGGGTAGACCGTATTTTACTATCCAAGCATCAGTCACTGGACATTTGGGCTGTCCCCACTTTTTGGCTATTCTGAATAATGCTGCTATTAACAATTGTGTACAAGTCTTTGTGTGACTATACTGGAGCCACTTGTGATAAAATAGTTTCTAGAGCATTTCATCTCAATTTTTACCAAGGTGAAATGCATGTTATATTATTGAAGAACTATATATGATGCTATTATTGAATGTTTTATTTTAAGCTAAAATGCTCATTGGTATAGGGTTAGAAAAGGGCTTTTTTTGGTTTTCATTCATCTTATAGGTATATACCTATAACTTCGATTAGTTAACATTTTTGCTGTGCTGCCTTCTTAAAGACAGTTTCCTTTCTTTATCCAGCATTTGTCAATGTAAGGGAAATCCTTCAGGATCAATCAAGTCTGTGTGAAATTCCTTTACTTCTTTGTTTTAAGCAATTCTGTCATGTACACTTGAATTTGCATCCAAAACTATTATTGACTGAGATGTGAGATTCTTTCAGACTATATTGTCTTCTGAAATAGTACTTTATTATTAAAAATAAGGTTGCTGAGAAAGCATTTTTTAATATGACAGGCTCAGCAGGACTGGAGATAAGCAACATTTCTAAGATGATTTTGCGGAAAAGTTTGCCTTATATTTGGGCATATGATACTATTAATGTGACATCACTTGATCAAAAAAATCTGAAATGCATGTTATAATTTAAATATGTATTAGGTAAATCAATCTAAATAAGAGAACTGATTGTTAGCAGTATTTTATCAGCTTTTGGAGCTGATAAAAATTTTGTAAGCATAAAACTCTTGAGACTACTACCAATGTATAGTTTTTATTTTTATATTTATTGTCAAATATTTAATGTCAAGTTTTTTAGTATTTCTTATTTAATTTTAATAAAGTGCTGTTAAGTGTTTTAATTATTTTTAACTTTTCAAGTCTATTTTTATTCATCAGTATTTACTAGTAAGCAGAAGCCAAAGAGGCAAAGCATGAAAAAAAAAGTGCAGGCCTACATACTAATCCACACGGTTATGGGATGAAATATTTATTGTAGTGCTGTCTGTATTTTTATCAACAACTTACAGTTGTCATCTGATAATGGTGTTTTATTAGCACCTTATAAGTCTTACACTAACATGGATAATGTGTTATGATATACTTGAAAAGATGTCAGAGAACAAATTAGCAGAAAGAATTCCTATCTGTTTTATGTAAGATATTTTTGAGATTAGAATTGCTTTGTCATGGCAACAAGATGAGAGATCTCATAAAAAAGGAAAATGAAGTTAATGAATGAAGACCATGGATTTTTCAGAAGGGCCAAATGGCAAAGAAAAAGAGTTGGTTGAGAAAAGGCAAAAGGTGTTTATGGAAAATGCAGGGCTTAAATATAACTGAGTGATTTAAACATGAATGAAAAAAATCCTCTAGAGATATTCAGATGTGTGAATGTAGGAAAATAATTGAAGATATGTGGGAAATAATTTTTACATATTAAAATACATAAAACTTACCTTCCATTGTAAAAATAAACTAAATTGTACCAACAATTTAGAAAATTTCCCAAAATAATAATGAGTAATATCTTTCATATGCACACTGCTTACATTTCAAAGAGACTAAATGGACTTTCTTACCTTGAAATGATCCAGAAAAGTCAAAATCATTTGCACCTTTCCTCTTGCTTTTCTTAGAACTGACTTTGGAGCCAACTTCATCATTAAGTTCTGTTACCAAAAAAAGTGCTATTAAGTAATTTAAAAACAATAGGACTGCTCTAGGGTTAGGATGATGAATACTGTCTTTTAGAAACTGCTAATTACTATTCTAATAATATTTTAAAAAGCAACATTAATGGCTCAACAGGTATCACGCAAATAGCCTAATTATTGATTAAAATGTAAGTCCAAAACTCAGCACTCAACTGCTTTAAAAAACACTTTTCAGTTTCAAATGTGAGGGATAAAAGGCCCTCTTTACATTTCTGGCCTGAGTATTAATCTGAATACTGAGTAATATTAAAAAATATTCAACAGAGAAACAAGCCTATGCTGAAAAAGAAAGGAAGATATAGTTTGTTTCAGTCTTGTATTTTAAAAACGGCCTACGCTGAATGCCCTCACCTTCATCATCCAGCACATCCATGAATGTTCCTCCATCTTCATCAATTTCAGTAAATTCGTCATTCATACTTCCTAAAGACACTTCATCATCATCCAAGTTATCGAGGTCATCATCACTCTCTTCTGAATCTTCATCTTCTGGCTCACCCTTAGCTCCTTTTTTTTTCTTTTTCACATTGCTGAAGAAAAACAACAACTTGTAATGCAAAAGAGGAAGCTGTTTTTTAAAATGTGGTTTGATGACTACCAGGGTATTAGGCTATGAACAGGTTTAAAAGGAGAGTAACAGAAAGCTCAGAGCCTTTATTTAATATGCATTATAAAGGTCCAAAATGGAAGTACTGGATCTATTTCCCAAGCTTATTCAAGAGGGGCAATTTGGGAAATGCTGAGAAAACAATGGGAAAAAAAACATATTGAAGAAATGTGTTTTACCCAGCAAAATCAAGATCATCCTTTCCAGGGGTGAAACAATTATCATCTTCAAATGTATCTGCCAGAGAACAATACACAAATTGTAAGATGTAGCAAAGAATAACAAAATTGACATGTCTTCTAAATCAATTAACAGTCAAGATTCTTCTTTTTATGACAAACACTAAAATAAAACTGTGACTATACTGACCTTAATTAAATTCCTAAACTAAAATGGTTCCAGTTAATTTCAGGTTCTATCTACAGTTCTTTTATAGCAAGAGGGTAAATATCAAATGAAATAGTTAGCAACCACAGTCCTTTTTACTTCATTAGAGCTATTGAAGTGGACTCAATTTCTTTCTAATTTCCCATGTTTTTTGTTTCAGTCTAAATTTCAATTATGGTTTTCTAGCTCTATGGAGTATAAAGATAAAATAGATGAAATAGTAGACTACTGCTACCAATAATGGAAGATTAGGAACAGTAAAAATGGTTTCTCTTTTATAAAAGATTTGGCCTTAAGAATATACTCCTTGCCCTGGCTGGTGTAGCTCAGTGGATTGAGCGCGGGCTGCGAACCAAAGTGACGCAGGTTCGATTCCCTGTCAGGGCACATGCCTGGGTTGCAGGCCATGACCCCCAGCAACCGCACATTGATGTCTCTCTCTCTCTATCTCCCTCCCTTCCTTCTCTAAAAATCAATCAATCAATCAATCTAAAAAAAAATACTCATGCAAATATAATTTTTCCTCCATGAATTGTCCTGTGAATTATCATCCCACCAAAATATTTTTTAATTCTCCCTTGTGATTTGCATGGTATTCTTAGTTAAGTGATTTTTTAAACTAAGGTCACTTCTACCACTAACGTAATAAATTATTTTACAAATTGAAGAGTCAACAAATTACCAATCATCCTTTCAAATTCCTCATCATCCACATCTTCTATACTTTCTTCGTCTGCATTCCGTTTTTGCTTCTCTTTAATGACAGCGACTTTTTTATAATACCTAAAATAAAATTCATGTCACATATTTGATAATTTTACTAAAGGGACTACTTCTTATAACTAAAGCACCTATGACCATTCACCAAAACAAGTGTAAATGCTGTTAACTCTGTAGGATATAAATGACTAAAATTTGTATTTATTGTAGAAAAAAGTTGAATTCTACAAAACAGTTGGAGACTTCTAAAATGTGAAGTATAAATTTCAAATATTCAGGTTTGGTTCCTGATAAAAACACCTGAATTCACCCTAATTAAATGGCACGTGTAAAACGTTGTTTCAGGGTCAACACTAATGATGAAAGTATTAGAATATCACAAAATGTGCTGACTTCTATTCACAATCTTTTATCAGACCTACTGTCATATTAGGATACAATAAAACTTAGCATTTTGCAGATGGGATCATGCCCTTAAAATTCTTCACACAAAAAGCATCAACAGAACAAATCAAATCAAACCAAAGTAACAG